CCCAAGATTCCCCTTGTCTCCCATGTGTTCCCATCTGTGTCCTTATTCAGCCAATTTTTTCCTACTTGCTGTGTGGTCTAGGCTTTAGGACCTTCAGGTGGTTTTGGGGGCCATAAACATTACCGAGTCCCTCATTCGTGTCCCTTCCGTCACCGCCTTCTTGCAGTCTCCTCTCTTCATTTCTTTTTGTCCCTCACTGTTACTGTTCTTCTTCCTGGGTGCTTCTGGGCACAGGATACTCTTCGTGGTGCTCGATGGCAAAGGATTCTTCTTGCCTCCCATTTGTTTCCATACTTGTCTCCTTGTCTGTTCCCAACTTGTCTCCTTACTTCTCTATCTCCATTGCGATTCTTCTCTCTGGGTGCTTTCGGTCAAAGGAATCTCCTTGTCTCCCGTTCCTCACTTCTCTCTCCATTGCTCAGTGTTCTTCGTTCTGGTGGCTTTGGGGACAGGACTCAAGTCCCATCTGTTTTCGTACTCGTCTCTCTACTTCACTCTCACATGTGGCTGTTCTCTCTGGGTGCTTCCGGGGCACAGTATGCTCCTTGTCCTCTGTCTGTCTCCGTGCTTGTCCCCCTTGTTCTCTCCAACTCGTGCCCTTACTTCTCTCTCTCTCTCTCTCTCTCTCTCTCTCTCTCTCTTGCTGTTCTTCTCTCTAGGTGCTTATTTGGACACATGATTCTCTCTGGTTCCTCACTTGTCCTCCCTTGTCCTCCCTTGTTCCCTCCAACGTGTATCCTTAATTCCCTCCTCATTGCTGCTGCTGCTTGGGAAAGAACGGATTTCCTGGCCTCTTGTGTTTCTCCTTAACTTTTCTTCCTTTGTTCAGGTCACATTCCCTTACCCTCGGTCTCTACCACATGTTACCCTACTTACCTTCCTACGTGTCTCCAACTTGTCTCCGTATTCTCTCTCCACTACCGTGCTTCTTTCCAGGTCTCCAGCATTTGGGAGGGAGAGGATAGTTTTTCTCCTCTTTCCTTTCTTTCTTTCCTTGTCCCTGTGGTCTTTCCCAGCGCTTTCTTCACTTCTTTCCTCATTCCTGTTGTTCTCGCTTTTGGGACCCAAGATTCCCCTTGTCTCCCATGTGTTCCCATCTGTGTCCTTCTTCAGCCAATTTTTTCCTACTTGCTGTTTTGTCTAGGCTTTAGGACCTCTTCATTTCTTTTTGTCCCTCCCTGTTACTGTTCTTCTTCCTGGGTGCTTCTGGGCACAGGATACTCTTCGTGGTGCTCGATGGCAAAGGATTCTTCTTGCCTCCCATTTGTTTCCATACTTGTCTCCTTGTCTGTTCCCAACTTGTTTCTTTATTTTTCTATCTCCATTGCGATTCTTCTCTCCGGGTGCTTTCGGTCAAAGGAATCTCCTTGTCTCCTGTTCCTCACTTCTCTCTCCATTGCTCAGTGTTCTTCTTCTGGTGGCTTTGGGGACAGGACTCAAGTCCCATCTGTTTTCGCACTCGTCTCTCTACTTCCCGCTCACATGTGGCTGTTCTCTCTGGGTGCTTCCGGGGCACAGTCTGCTCCTTGTCCTCTGTCTGTCTCCGTGCTTGTCCCCCTTGTTCTCTCCAACTCGTGCCCTTTCTTCTCTCTTTCTCTCTCTCTCTCTCTCTCTCTCTCTCGCTGTTCGTCTCTCTAGGTGCTTATTTGGACACATGATTCTCTCCGGTTCCTCAATTGCCCTTCCTTGTTCGCTCCAACGTGTATCCTTAATTTCCTCCTCATTGCTGCTGCTGCTTGGAGAAGAATGGATTTCCTGGCCTCTTGTGTTTCTCCTTAACTTTTCTTCCTTTGTTCAGGTCACATTCCCTTACCCTCGGTCTCTACCACATGTTACCCTGCTTACCTTCCTACTTGTCTCCAACTTGTCTCCTTATTCTCTCTCCACTACCGTGCTTCTTTCCAGGTCTCCGGCATTTGGGACGGAGAGGATAGTTTTTCTCCTCTTTCCTTTCTTTCCTTCCTTGTCCCTGTGGTCTTTCCCAGCGCTTTCTTCACTTCTCTCCTCATTCCTGTTGTTCTCGCTTTTGGGACCGAAGATTCCCCTTGTCTCCCATGTGTTCCCATCTGTGTCCTTATTCAGCCAGTTTTTTCCTACTTGCTGTGTGGTCTAGGCTTTCGGACCTTCAGGTGCTTTGGGGCCATAAACATTACCGAGTCCCTCATTTGTGTCCCTTCCGTCACCGCCTTGTTGCAGTCTCCTCTCTTCATTTCTTTTTGTCCCTCCCTGCTACTGTTCTTCTTCCTGGGTGCTTCTGGGCACAGGATACTCTTCATGACTCTTCGTGGTTGCTCGATGGCGAAGGATTCTTCTTGCCTCCCATTTGTTTCCATACTTGTCTCCTTGTCTGTTCCCAACTTGTCTCCTTATTTCTCTATCAAAAAAAAATATGTATTCACTTTTTTTTTTGAATTTTTTGAATTCAAAAAATTCAAAAAATTCAAAAAAAAATGAAAGTCCCAAAAAGAAAGAAATGGAATTCAAAAAATTCAAAAAATTCAAAAAAAATATGTATTCATTTTTTTTTTGAATTTTTTGAATTTTTTGAATTCCATTTCTTTCTTTTTGGGACTTTCATTTTTTTTTTTTGAATTTTTTGAATTTTTTGAATTCAAAAAATTCAAAAAAAATTATGTATTCACTTTTTTTTTGATTTTTTTGAATTTTTTGAATTCAACAAATTCAAAAAATTCAAAAAATTCAAAAACAAAATGAAAGTCCCAAAAAGAAAGAAATGGAATTCAAAAAATTCAAAAAATTCAAAAAAAATATGTATTCATTTTTTTTTTGAATTTTTTGAATTTTTTGAATTCCATTTCTTTCTTTTTGGTATATAGATTAACTAGTAGGGATTCTCCAGAAAGAGGTATAATTTCAATAAAATCCTTTCGACATGCAAACGTTCAAATAGTACATAAAGGTCCATCGTACATATATATATAGGGAATAATCCCAAATGGCGAACTCCATCATTTTTCAGAGGGGTAGGTATACCACCAACCAGTATAGGAATTGAACATGGTCCATTTATAGAGTTTTGGCCCTTAGTTATTTAATGATATATAATGATATATAATCAAATATAATGAGATATAATGATATATAATGATATATATAATGATATATAATGATATATAATGATATATAATGATATATAATGATATATAATGGTATATAATGATACGTATATATATATATTAGATGAGCTTACAATGATATATATATATATAATGATATATATATATAATCTTCGCATACCTTAGTTACAGTATACTGTAGGAGTTATAATTCCATTTAAAACTGTTAAGGGCCATAACTGTAGATGATTTATGGTGATTTACCAATCTACCTATTAAACCGTAATATGTTCATATATGTTCCACAACTAATTATGTTAAATAACCAGGTTGGGTAGTCCCCAGAAGAATGCTGAACATAGTCCCCAACTATGGAATATACATAGAATTGAACCATGTTGCTATATCTATGATTATTTAGTTTGCCCAACCATTATGAACGGTTGTGGATATTACATATGCAGTACAATATACCATCTGGTGTCATCAAGCTTGGCTGACTGGACACCCCCTATAAATGGTGTTTCCATAGGAAAATCAGCTATAAATTAGGGATTGTCCATTGCCATGTTTGATTACCGGAGGGTAACTCACTGAAAACGAAAAAGCTGGAAATTCATAGGGCAATGTCATCGGGCAGCCTGCACTTTTCGGCATCTTTTCTGCGGCTGCTATACCAAATATGGGGAAACTCTTCCCTACCAACCATTATTCTAGTCAAATTTGGCGAGAGCAACATACCAAAACTATGTTAAATGTGAACTCCCTCAACAAATCATCAACAAACCGGGGCACACACACACACACGTATGATTTTGTCCCGGCAACCCTGAGGAAATTACTGGGAATTAACCAGGTACTTCACTGAAGAAATACATATATTGCACATATATATATATATATATATATACATGTATAATATTTACATCCAACAAAACAGTAGTACAAAGTACAAATACTTTCCTATTTGGAGCTTACTGCATATATATATATATATTATACATATATTCAAAGACTAAAGGGTTCCTCATGACTTCTTAAGCGCCTTAAGCGCATCTCACTACTACGGTCCGACAAACCCACAGATCTTGATCATCATGTTTACCGTAGGGTAAACTAACAGTTCGATTTGGAGAAAAAACACCATTTATAGATCATTGTCACGGAAAGCCATGGGGTTTTCCACATCTTTTCTGTTAGTTTACCCTAGGGGCCCTAGGGTCATCCCAATTCGCCCGGCTGGGCGGGCTTTTGTCTGAGCATTGGGCACCCCTAAATGCACCGGTTGATCATAATTTTCCCCATGAAAGCGGCCATTTGGGGAGAATTGTACCCCATTGTCAGTCACACTGATACTTTGCCAGTATGTCTCACATCAAGAACTATCATTGAACAATCTCAGTGCACAAAGACTTTGATATCAAAATAACCAACTTTTTTTTTGCATCCGTGATCTCTACGTTGCTCGAAATCCAAATAAGTGTAGACATTAAAGATGAATTAACATGTGTTATATCAACATATATCAACAATATGGGGATAAAAGGTGGATACAATTTATCAATAATGGCTGGTTGATGATTAGTCCGGGGATTATAATACCCAACATTTTGGGGAATGTCACAATTCATGCATTGGGAATCCCCATCAACAATATGATTGATTCGATAAAAAATAAATTACAGTAGTGGTTCTTGGTTCTATTCACGTGTTTCTTGCTGACAGCCTTTTTTGTAAGTAGTTCTTTGAAGCAAAACCAATGCTAAGGTTATACGCGTGACTGGATATGATTTAGAAATTTAATGGGGTACCCTCCTACAAACGTAAATACAAGAAGATGTGGAAGACCCAGCATGCATCTAGATCATGTTTCCACTTGTTATCAGGTTGCATGTCCGGTTGCGGCCGTAGCGTTGGCTCAATTTCACGTCAGCCCACAACGGGTGACGCGTGACGCGTGACGTTGCAGTTGCATTTTTGCAGCATGTGTGGCTTGGAGAGCATGGGGAGAAAACTGTTTGGTGTTACCAATTATCGCGATATTAGTAACATGTTAGGACAAGCTCAGTTCCGACAGCTATGAAGTTATGAGTTGTTTTCTTGGCCTATAAATGCAAATATTTACATACATACATACATACATACATACATACATACATACATACATACATACATACATACATACATACATACATACATACATACATACATACATACATACATACATACATACATACATACATACATACATACATACATACACACATACATACATACATACATACATACATACATACATACATACATACATACATACATACATACATACATACATACATACATACATACATACATACATACATACATACATACATACATACATACATACATACATACATACATACATACATACATAGTCACATTTATAATCATATATATATATATATTCTGTATATATATATATATATATTATATAATATTATATCCAGGTAGGATTTTGTTTTTGTTGGTTTCCAGTGGATCAAATATTAGCCATGATGTGGGATCATATATTCAATCCCTTGTTTTAAGGATAATGGAGCATTCACCATATGTCAACTGGCCACAAGGTTGATGGATGTTCATGTGTGCTATGTATAAATATATATTATATATATACACTGACATGTATGTATATTATATACAATGATCTTTCCAGATGCATTTTGTAGATTTTCCTCACCGAGGTGTTGATTCACTTGGGCAAAAGAAACTCACTGAGTACCTTCCACTGCTTGCCATAGCAGTGACCAGTTAAAAGGAACAAAATCAAGTCAACATCCTTTGCGCTTTCAAGAACCATGTGAGCGTCTGGCGTATGAATGACGTAAATCCAATGCTGTGAGCCATTTTCAACTGGGTGTGTATTAAATACCATGTGATATAGTGTAATAGTAATACTGGGTTGTATCCAGTAATAGTTAAATACCATCTTAAGAACTGGTTAAGTATACCCATCAACTGTATACCCTGAGTAATGGTACGGTTTTTCAAATGGCTGGCGGGAGTCTCGGTGCGAATCCGGCTGGTAGAAGGACTACAACCAGAACGAAGGGTGAGGTTCGTGAGGTTGTGCCTTTTTGTGGGCCGTTAAAATGGTGCAACATTTGGTCTGAGAATGCGGCCGGGATCCTGGACTGATAAACATGTGCTCACCTAAAGAATCTAAAGATTTGCGGGACTTGTCACTTGTCGTGGATGAGCAGCTACTTGCGGGACTTTGCTGATGGAGACCTGACCCGCGTGGTGGTTGCCAAGTACCAGGAGGTGGGTGCCTCCCGGAAGGACGAGTGGATTTCGGCAAATCCAGTTCCACCAACAAGGTCGGGGGCTCTTTGGCCGCCATAGGGTTTCTGCGTCGCACGAGAAAGTGTCTGGTCATTGCTCTGGATTTTTGCTTTGTTTTCTTTTCAAGTTTGGGGGGCCCAGCGTGGTTTAACTCATGGTTGTGTCTTGCTTTGGTTTTCGCGATGACGTATGATTTCTGTCTCAAGCATCACTCTCAACTGTACATGCTGCGATTTGTGGACCGAAGTGGCTGCAATGGTGCATCAACATAGGGCAAGAACGGGTGCTGCGTCCACGCCGCGTAGGGAACCGCGTTGTTTTACTCCTGCGTTAACATGAAGATTGCGGGACGACCCGTTGTTTTTGAGCCACTTCAATGACCTTTTGGAAGTAAGCTTGCTGCTTGAATCAGCTAGCATCTTCAAGGTGGACACATTTCCCCTTAAATGCAATCAGTTAACATTAGTTAACATAGTTAGCCAAAAGAGAGGGCTCCAATACCATCAAACATGGCATAGCTGCTTCTCAAGGCCTGGAATTGGGTCCACCAAAAAAAACGACTGCACCACGACGTCACTTGAAATGATGTTTACATAGTGAGGGCATGCAAGGGTAACTATCCCAAAATTACGAATGATTTCTGCGACTTGATTTCGAATTTAGCCAGATGGATGTTAACCACTGTAACCACTGATTTGATTACAGTTGATCCCTTTCACCCCAAACGTGGCCCTGGTATAGCAGATCTGCTCGGTTTGCATTCAACATCTATAGCTGGTTGGTGGTTTGGAACATAATTTCTATTTTTCCATTCAGTTGGGAATTTCATCCCAACTAACGAACTCATATTTTTCAGAGGGGTAGGTTGAAACCACCAACCAGATAGGGTATTTCTTTGGATCAAGGGGTAGGATTAGCCTCTGGTTAACTAACATAACTATGGAAAATCACCATGCTTAATGGGAAAACTCACTATAAATGGCCATTTTCAATAGCTTTTTGTATGTTTCCCAGAGGGTACCACTAGGAAGATCTGGGATGATTCCCAGTTGGTACTTAGGTTTGTGGCTACTCAGCCTGCTGGCCACATTCGTGGCCGTCGAGGGCGGTGACACATGTCAACAGGGCTTCCTGTACAAGGCGCCACAACGCAGCGGCTGAATTGTGAAATGTGTGAATTATGGTAGTATAACATGGTATGATCCCATCTTCCTAATATCAAAATATATTTAACACCCCATATGTTTTCCAAATCTGTATTTTTATATACTTTTAGCCCCTAAACCATGGGGACTCTGGTGCTTAGTATTTGAGGGAAGGAGTTCATCATCATCCACTGGAGAGTGATTTGATGTGTACAATGAGGGCGTCCCAGTGATATGTTTACAATGTGACCCCCCAGGCTGTGTTTGTTGATTTACAAAGCCATCGAATTATACTGGCTATACTCATATCGGCCCCAAAAAAGTTTTAGCGTAGTTAGAAACCAATTGAGCAGTAGGGGGCCACCTTGAAGTATATTGTTTTATATGTAATAGGTAGGATAATAGTAATTCATTCAGCGTAAAGTCATTCTTGTGATTTAAGCATTATATGGTGGTGTAGTTGGATATGATGGGGATGGAACTAGTAACTAGTGGGGATTTTAGTGGACTTTTATGTTGATTATTCATTATTGATCCTTCGAAAGCATGATCAAAAAGCTGCAAGGCGTTCAAATAACCCCCAGTAGTTGTAGATTGAAACCCACACAGATATGTTCATCATGACCTGAATGTGACAAAAACTGGAATGATGCCTAGATCGCGGGAAATCATCCTCATAGCTGGCCCAACATGTAGTTTGAGTTGCACAGCACGGCAATTGTTCAGTCCAAAAAGGACTATGTAGTCAATGTAGTCTAACCCATCTATTAATACTGGTTGGTGGTTTCAAACATTTTTTCTTTTCCATAATATATGGGATAATCATCCCAACTGACTTTCATATTTTTCAGAGGTGTAGCTACACCACAAACCAGAATAAGTCTTGCACCTGTTCTACGCTACTGCTACATTTCCAGCACTGCTCTGGAGAGATGGTCTTCTTCGAGGAGCAGTTTTCCTCACAAACATGTAGCATCCCCTTCTTTCAAAAAACAACTTTTTAAAGTTGGTGGTTGCTATGAGCTATTGCAGAACATCTTAGGAAAAAACAACTCCCTTTGAAGGTTGAACTGTTTATAAAAACAAGTATTGATGTGTCCCTTTTTTATGATGGACATATGTCCTCAAACAGATACATGTTATTTTGAAGAATAATACTTGACTTAAAGCTGCAGTCATTTGTTTAAGCAACAGAAACAATATTATTGCATAATATGAAGTCGATACTGTTGCAAACTATGAAATGTGTCCAAAGAACTAACACTCCCTTCCAAGCTCAGCTCTTATCTATGTTTGAAGGTAACACCATTGTTCTATAGGAGAATAATGTCACACTCCTTTCCAAAAAAAACAACGATCCTGTATTTGGCAAGTAGCACCATTTCTTTGAAAAGTCCTTGTCCTTTCATTTGGAAATGCACCCCATTCATTTGAAGGAAACGCTGCACTAACCACACACATGTCTCGGTTGTCCTTTATGTTTGAACGTAACACCAATTTGTTTAAAAGAATGTGATGCTCCTTTTAAAGAAGCCTAATTGCCTTCTATTTGGGTTCAGGAACACCTGTGAATGGGAAGGAAACGTTTCACACACAAAGTGCACGTCCCTAAAGGCCTCATCCAATGAAAAAATGCACATCCCCAAATACGGCGCATGTTTATCATACAAGCATTGTTTTAAAGTAATGACGTGTAAGAGTTACATTTGATAAATACATGATGCCTTAGAAGCAAGATGAATCAGATTTGGATTAATCCAGAATTAATCTGGATTTGTCCTAAGGATCAAAACATCGAAAAAACAAACAATGTTTTGGGGACTACTTGGATCTAGCATGATCTAGCCATGTTCAGACTAGTCTGGAACACATTTTTTTTTGAAATTTCACCCTATTTAAGCTGTATTTCCCATAGAAAAGGCTTGTGCATGGGCAACAGAAAACCAATATTACTTCAGATCATGTAATACATTGACCAAAAACATGAATATATATATATATATAATATATATATATACAAACAATTGGTGATTTCAACGCTGGCAACAACCCTTTCGATTCTGTAAATAACATATATAGTACTTTATATAATTACAGTTTATTTAAATATGATTCATGTACACATATACACATTATTTTTATGTATGATAAATACATATATATATATACACATGTGACTTACACATGTGTTTTATTTGCTGATATTGCACTCAAGCCTGTCGGGCCACAAATGAATCTTCCCGCTCTTCGCCAGGAACGAGGTATTCCCACCATGACCAATTTGCCCAATTCAGAGGTATGCCAACAGCAACTTGGATCCACAGAAAATGGGGGATTGAAGCAGCAAAAGTATTGATTCTATAGAGATAAATGTAATATGATATAATCTGTGTATATATATATGTATTTACATATGAGTATGTGTATATATAGATGGGGATATATATTTTTTTATTCCCATATTGGGAGGAATACATATCAACCAACTCTTTAAGATCATTCTTTGGTACTTTTGACTGATAACCGTATATGTGGTATGACCATTAACAATACGTTTATGTTATCTATATAAGTTGGTTTAATGCACACAGCACTCACTAATTCAAATTTTGGGTTTGTGGTAGGTATTTCGAACTGTTGGGTGCCTGGGCTTACCAACAGGCCATCACAGTGGGGCACCGTAGTTTCTAAAAAACAGCACCCCCCAAATCACAAACTGGATTATACTGTACTCTTTGGATCCCTTTGGTAAACTAATAGAGTAGCTCACATCAATAGCTCCGGAAAATGGACTCGTTTATAGATGATGTGCCTACTATAAATGATGAGTTTCCATAGTTCTGTTAGTTTACTGGAGGGCATCCTTTAGTTCATTGATGGTACTGTACATTGATGGTAGATCCGCCATATGAGAAAAACATGCATATGTTTTATTGTTAAAACCCTCTGAAGCAAATCCAAGTCATGCCATTTTAGCTAGATATAGAAAACCCAACCAAGAATGTTGATGAGTTTCTGTCAACCATGGTTTTCCAGATGTTCAGCGAAAATTTGTTGGTTGCCATCCCACAGACAGGGAGGAACCTGCACCATATCGTGTAATTAATATGGTTATGCCTGAGAAGACATGTAATTTGTTCGTGAGAAAGTTAGAAAAGTGCAATTTCTTTCAACCCATTGATCTTCTGGGCGCAAGTAGAGCCTGAGTTGTAAAATGTTGTAAATTTATGCTGATTAAAAAACGAAAGGGGTGGGTACATGTCTCAGGGTTTTCTTCATTTGGGCCCGTGACAGAGGAGATACAAACGGTCCACCCAAAGCGGACACAAAAAATGCGGTCTACTTGTTGGTATTGTGACTAACCAGCTAGTTCTTTTTCAGTCACTAAGAATTGGTGACAAGCCCAATAAAACTCAGTTTCGTTTCTCCGGGGTATCTCCTTGAATTATGAGGGGTAGATATTAGGATCATCCTACTTCTAATTGCTTAGTATTGCCATTGATCAGCCATTTATCAGACATGTATCAGCCATGTGGAGGTTTCCTAAAATGGGGGTACCCCTGGATCATCTATTTTCGTTTGGGATTTTCCATTAACCATCCAGCTATGGGGTTACCCTACGGAAAACTTCCATTTATGGGAGCCTTTTTTCTTGGGAGCCGCTCGGTTCTCCGGGTCCCCATGGCGATACGACCTAAGGGCGTGCAGCAAAAACAAGTACTGCTCGCATTTCAGCTATGATTTGGGATACTTGGATGAACGGTTCATGCTGTGCAAAATTGGGATGTGAAAGATGGCTGAAAACCATACAAAAAAGCAACAGAAATTGGTCGTAAATCTTAAACGGGATAGGTTCTGGAGATATATTCTGGAGATATGTTCTGGGACTAGCTATTCACTAAACTGTACTACGGTGGTGGTTCAGATTGGAATGGCAAACTTGGGTGGAAAATTCACTCACATAATTTAATAAAGTGGTTTATGGTGGTGGTATCAAACTCGTTTGGTTTTGAATCCAGCCTTTAAATGGGCACCATCTTGGGGCTACTTCTGGGGATCGAAAGCCATCAAAGTTCTGGGGATACCTGGTAAATCACCCTTTAGGAGCTAAGAAATTCATGCTGTGGCACGAGTTTTTCATTGGCCATGAATTGCGCAATGTCACACTGAACAAAATCATGGGATGTTCTTCTTTAAACACGAAGTGTTGCGCCTTTTTGGACAACATGTTGATAACATCCACACCTGCTCTGCCCACAGCATGAGCCCTGCAAAGTTCTTGCTCCCCACGATGCGGATTGACAGCACAGATATGTTACTGGGTTTAATACATCATTCCGAATCATTCCGCCTAGTTTTAATTTGGCTTCAACCCCCACTCAACTTAAAATAATTATACATAGATATATCATGATATATCTAATCTAAGATATATCTAAGTTTAGCCACAGTGAACCTAGTTATAAACAAAGATAGCTTCAATTGTGGACACCGCTGAAACGTCGATTGGCCCACAGCAAGCCAGCGTGCTGTTTTCGGACTTCCGGCGGAAGGGGCATCATCTCTGATTACTTCAGGTTGATGAATCGCTACAATTCACCTTTCAAACATGTTGTATATACATGAATGTGAATTTATTCATTTGTATCATGTGTTCAAAAAGTCACCGTTCAAAAATGATATATATATATATATAGATAGATGTACAGATAATTTTCCCATAATTATTCCCATTACTGTACAATCTCCATGTATGGGGGATTTCAAACTGTGCCACGTTTCATTGCCGGAGGGTACATGCATGGCTCATGAGCCCAGCAAATCGTCTACGGGAAAAGAAGGGTAGCCGTGTTGTGACCGGTAACCGATTTCCGTACCAGGATTAACTTTCTTTGTTTATTTTGGATTGCTAAATCATCATTTCTACGCCTGCAATCACTGCAATCCCTTTTCTTGGTTGCTTATCCCATCTCGATAGCTTACGTCACCATTTCTCAACATCCTTTAGCCTCCAAGTTTGCTTTGACATATACCAACCAAATCTGAAGAGTGAACTGAAATCTCAAGGTTGGTTGGCTAACCACCATTTCCATGATTTTACTAAGCACCTTATATTTGGTTGTCACTTGATTGAATCAAGTGCAATCCATGCGTTTGAATCTGGCGCCCAGCAGTGAGCAAAGTTGGTTTACAACTCATAACATCATATAACAGAATATAACATTATATAGCTGAGCTAGGACCAGCTAGGATTTATAGTAGATATGATCTATACCCTTTGGTAAATTGTCATAGTCATACCTATTGAACATCACCCCTTTAAATAGGTAAATCATCGAAGTCAAATATGCCATTCATACCATAGCTATCTTAAAATTTCCGGAGGGTAGTCAATGAGGTCAAGTTATCCAAGTTATAGCTGGCCGCCACATCGTTCTGATGGACTCATGCAGCTGACAGGAGATTGTTGGTTCCTGAAAGCCGCTTCGGGACTTAAAGAGAAGGCTACAGCAATCTCAGGCGCGCTGGCTTTGGGCTTGGTGGAATTAACGAGAAGTGGAATACACCATCTCCAACTGGGGTCTAACAATTACCCTCTGGGAATTTAACATAGCCATGGAACATGATCCATTTATAGATGGTTTACCTGTTTACCTATTAAAAATGGTGATTTTCCATGGCTATAACCAGAGGGTAATTCTTACAACTTAGGTGAAATATATGATGATTCATAAGCCCATAAAAATAACTTAAGAGCCATAAGTGTAGGAAACCACGTTTCATGTTGAAGCCACCAAGCTGTTGCACCAACTGTGAGTTTTTGGGCAAGTTGTGGCCATGGGGACAGTGTTGATAAACAATAAATGCCAGTGTCAACAGTTGGATTATATATATATATAGTATTCTATATGATTATCTATGAGTATCTTTGAACATACATGATTATCTCTGAGTATACATGATTTTACATGATTATATTTAATTCTACATAATTACATAATGTATTGGAGGGATGATCATCAATGTATTTTCCATAGGGGTTATATGTTTGGATTCCCATCAACTGACACGATGGATGACCTGGGTCCCATAAATCCCAGCTGCTGGGCCAATTCATTGATTAAAACGGGCATGGATAGTGGAACAATAGTGGAAAATGCTAAACAAACATCATGGGAATGTAGTGGGATATACATATATATATTTATCCATATCTATCCAAACATCATGGACTCATCACGGTATTTCACGTGATATTCGACAACTGTCTACCCAACTCGCGGGAGTGTGCCACGCTTTGGAATCACAACTAGGGATCAGGCTAGATGTATCAAACTAGCAACATTTTGGGTTTCCATAGTCATGGGGGTATCCCAAAATGTGTGGTTTATCATGGAAAATCATGGAAGATCATATGACAACTGGGGTTTATTTCATGGAACATTCTACTAATATGGAGGTTTATAATGGAAAATCCATATTAAACACATTATATAATGTATTTCCATAATGGAAAATCCTATTACAATATTTGTATGGCTCATGGGGGGCTTGGAAACCCAATTATAGCTGGGGGGTCCCTCTGAGATGCAAAAAGGGGTATCCTAACCCAAAAAGGATGGATGATCTGGAACGGAAAACCTGGAAAAAAGACCTGATGGAACCATCCATCCTAAAAAATGAGGTAAGCATGATTTGTGGTTTCTAATGATTCTAATGGTTTCAAAATGGCCAATCCCATTGAAACGGATTGAAAATCTTATTAGACAAGGATGATTTGGGGGTACCCCTATTCCCGACACCAAGTTATTTGTGGCCAGCTGGACCAGTGACATCAACGAACCGTAGCCCCATTTTCACTGGCATTAACGTCAAATTTGGGAGGGGATGGGAGGAGTCTAATTTTTGTGTTACATAATAATGTACATATACGTGTATATAATTATATGTAATTATATATAATTATATGTATAGTATGTATATAATTATATATAGAGGGATTTCTGAAGAGATAGACAAGATTTCAATCAAGGATTACATCGTTATTTGATAAGAATATCCCAACTGCACCTCCTAGTCGTCACCATGGATTCCATGGATGATGGTTCACCGGTGCTCCCTTCAGGCGACAAGTATTGTGCAAGTTCCAAGGAGACTTGGCCTGGCAGCTACGGGTGCTAGGTCAGAATCGCTTTGGCTGGAGTAACTTAGGTATATTTTATGGATGGGTTTAGTGTAGATACCCTCTGGTAAACATACAAACAGCTATTGAACATGGCCATAGAAATAGTGTGTTTTCCCATTAAAAATTATGATTTTCCATAGTTATGTTAGTTTACCAGAGGGTATATCATGATATATTGAACATAGTTAATGTTTACAATTCAACAAACATTTCTTTTCGGGGGCATCACAATGTAGCCAGTAGGTTAAACCATGTCCGGAGACTTGGGGATGGGGCAAGCCAGTGGGATGATTTACAAGGTGTCATAAGGTGGACTGCCCAAGCTTTTTCTTTTTTAGAATATGGAGATAGCCTCTGATAACCTCATTTTGGAGGATTCTTTGGGCTTTGAATTTAAGTAAACATCAAAAACACCAAGGTGGTTTCAACCATGTTCCCTTTGGGATGATGTCATCCCAAATGCCACAATGATCAGTTGAGTTTTTTCTTCCCCACATCTTTATGTGGGATTCTTGTTCTTGATTCTGTATCCCGCTCCTCCACCGCCTCCGCCGCCTCCTCCGCCTCCTCCGCCTCCTCTTGTCACGCACTCTCTTTCACACTCAACTTCGTCACACACCATCTTTCACACGCACAACTTTGTCACACACGCACAACTTTGTCACGCATACCTTTGTCACAGACCGTCTTTTAACAAAAACTTTGTCACACATTCTCTTTCACACACAACTTGCTCACACACACACACACACACACGCACACAACTTTGTCACACACCATCTTTTCCACACAACTTTGTTACACACCATCTTTCGACACAACTTTGTCACACACCATCTGACAGGCGTGGCACTTGGCGACATCCACCTTCTTCGCTTGGTGTGGCGGGTTTGGCACTTGGTGACATCCACGCCGCAAGTGAGTCCATCTCTCTCAAATACGACTTTCTTACAAGCAACTTTGTCACGCACAATCTTTCACATCTCTCTCTCTCTCTCACATTGCAACTTTATTGCGCACAACTTTGTCACACACACACACAACTCTTTCGCACACAACTTTTTCTCATACATCTCTCTCACACACAACTTTGTCACCCACAACTTTGTCACACACAATCTTTCACACACAGCTCTCTCACATGCAACTTCTCTCTCACACACATCTTTGTCACACACAAAACTTTGTCACACACAACTCTTTCACACACAACTTTGTCACAGACAACCTTGTCACACACAACTTGGTAACACACAACTTGGTCACATACAATCTTTGCCACACGCCATTTTTCACACACATCTTTGTCACACACCATCTTTCTGACACACAATCTTTCTCACACACAACTTTGTCAAACGCACAATCTTTCACACACAACTTTGTTTGTTACACACAACTCTTCACATACAACTTTTAAAATGATCGATCCTCCACCATCTCCTTTGTCCTTTCTTCTTTCTCCGTGCCGCTTCAACCACTTCCTCTGATTGCTGGAAGAAGTTGACTTGTGGGGTTATCCGGCCCTTTAATTCATGAGGACTGATTGATTGACATTCCCCACCACTTCCCCCCACGCCGTTTCCCCCCTTTTAACCGTCGGGGTCGACGAGCACCCGTCGTATCATCGTCGTCGTCAAGGACTTCATGTTGGACACAGAGACGCCAGAGGAAAAGGTCCGGCGCATTCATGAGATGATCGCGAACCTAGCCCACTATGTGGAGGACGCTGGCGGGTGGGAGCCGGGTGCCTTTTTTTAATTTGAATGATATTTGAATATATTTGAATGTTATTTTTGGTTCAGGATATCATAGTGATATTTAAGTGATTTTGTTGCTGACATTGAATGGTTTTTGATAGATTATTTAATGGCATTTTTGCATAGGATTTAGTGGACATGTGGGATAGTAATTAATGAATGGGATATGATCCATATATATATATAAGTATATATATATATATATAAACTATATATATATAGATATAGATATACAGTATAATTAAATATAGATAGACGATTGACCTTTTTGAAACAGCAACAAATAGGGATTTATCATGAGTGTTTACCAGCGAATGATTTTTTCAAGCGTCAGCACAACAATTTTCTCTCTGGAGTTGTGACCCGGCAGCATGAAATTTCAGGAACAACCACCAAATCTTGGGATACTGACTGTTTTTGATGAGATCTTGTCATGTTGGCACCTGAGTCTTGATAGATGGTTATATAACATATAGAGGAATATGTTTCCAAAATATATGAGATCCTGTCATTAACCATCATATAACCATCATTATACTGGAGGACCCTAAATAGAGGAATATGTTCCCCCAAAAGAATCCTTTGACACTATCCCTGAACAACAGACGTGACCAAGCATTTGGTATTGTTCGGTGAGTGGTGGTTTCGATCGCTGGTTATTTTCATTCCTACCCGGCATTGATAATACCAAGTGACTCCTGCTTCGGTGAAATCAGTGACCAGCTAGGTCACCATCAAGGTAGGTTTTAACAATCCAAAGCATGGATATCTTTGTGTGTTGATTGGTTTGTGATTACTGGCAGGGGTGGGTTGTGGGAAAACCCAAATGTTCTACGAGTTTCATCTGCAAGGACTTTTGGGTGTTCTTCTTATGTTGTTTTGTTTCCAGGAATTTGTTCCGGAAATGGGCACGGTCCACTCAATGACCGCACCATAGATGATGGTGATAGATATCGTGGGAATCCCCAAAACAGTTTTGCCAAACATGGATTGTTTTAGTTACACGTAGTAATTGTTGTCATAAAGATGTGGTGTTTGTGTTTTGCGTCAGGTTTTTCCGTTTTTTTTGGTTCTGAACATTCTGAACGCCAAAAAGTTTCTGTTACATGCTCATTGGTATTAGACATTTTTTTCCCTTAGTTCAGCGACCTTATACCATTAATTGTATATAACTGTATGGACAGGTGATACATGTATTTAAGTACCTTATAACTTATACCAATATACCTTATACCACAGGATGGTGCCCCCCAGTTACCCTGGCGCAGCTAATTACTCCCCAGATGGGCTACTTGTTTGTGTTTTGTTTTTTATTTTGAGTACCTGTTTGTTTACTTCATTTTACTTCAAACTTCAAACCAGCATTGTTTTGTTATGCATGATTATTTAAACATGGTTAAACCCTCGTTGTATTGGTTGGTTATATCATGTAATATTGTGTATTATTTTTTGGGGTGGCCCCACCGTTGCATTCGAAACTGGCAGGAAAACAGTCAAGATGTGAACGCCGTTAAAAATGCCGGACATGTGAAGTGGAGCTGCTCGGCGGACCAAAAACTGGCCATCGTTGGTTGATGGTGAGTGAAACAACTATGGCTAGTATTTCCAGTAGTACCGCACAAGGCGGTGGCGGAAGTTTCAAAAATAGGAAACCTATAGGAGAGCTTGGTTGTTGTGAATCAGGGATGGCAGAGCGAAGCCACTACTGATGGACTGAAAGGTGCTTGATCTCTTTCACTCTTTCTCTCTCTTTCTCTGACTATCTACCTACCTACCAACCCGTCTTCTATGTATCTATCTCTCTATCTCTCTATCGATCTATCTATCTATCTATCTATCTGTCTATCTGTCTATCTGTCTATCTGTCTATCTGTCTATCTGTGGTGCAGTGTCATACAGTGTAATGTAGTGTAGTGCAATGTAGTGTAGTGTATTGGAGTGTAGTGTGGTGGAGTGTAGTTGTGTCGTTGTGTAGTTGTGTAGCTGTAGTTGTATCTATCTATCTATCTATCTATCTACCTATCTATCTATCTATCGATCGATCGATCTATCTATCTAACTAATCTATCGATCTATCTATCTATCGATCTATCTATCTATCTATCTGTCAAGCCATCTATATATCTATCTATCTATCTCCTCTGCGCCCGCCGTTTTAGCGAGTCTACCTTTTCGCGCATCTGCATCTTTCTGCTGACTCTTAGCATCAAGGACGAACGACTTCTGCGAGACTTCCTCCGAAAATGGAAAGATCAGTGCTGCGCTCACACCCTCGTGCCAATTCGTTTTGCGATTTTTCTGCTCCACCTATCTAAAGTACTGCGCCTGCCACGAAAACTGGCTGCCAGGTCATACGAAATGCTGCACCTATCATGCAAAATCATCTTAGCAAACCTACACTTCTGAGACTCCAAAATGTAACCCTTCTCAGGAAATCAGCACCCTGACCTCCCAACCTCTCTCATGAACATGTCTTTTGTACTGCGCCTGCCACGGAAAATGCGTCTTTGCAGATCATCTTCAAATGTCCCATGCCTGCCATCTTTTGTCGAAATGCTGCAAAACCCTCATGTTTTGCTCACTTTTGACAAGATCCACAAGCTCGTGCTTCTGCCACGCGAAACGACATCTGAGCCTCCAAAAGTGGTCCGAACCCCTAGTGGTTTTAACATTTTGACTTCAAGATGTGCTTCGCGCCAAAACGGCGTGCACTTTTTCGAGATCTGAACTTCCAAAAGTGGTCCGAACCCCTAGTGTTTTAAACATTTTGACTTCCAAATGTGCTTCGCGCCACAACGGCGTGCACTTTTTCCACATCTCAACTTCCAAAAGTCGTCCGACACTGAGGTGTTTTGTACATTTTGACTTCCAAATGTGCTTCGCGCCACAACGGCGTGCACTTTTTCGACATCTCAACTTCCAAAAGTGGTCCGAACGTGGTGTTACATTTTCACTTGCAAATGTGCTTCGCGCCACAACGGCGTGCACTTTTTCGACATCGCAACTTCCAAAAGTGGTCCGAACGTGGTGTTGTTTGTACATTTTCACTTGCAAATGTGCTTCGCGCCACAACGGCGTGCACTTTTCCGACATCGCAACTTCCAAAAGTGGTCCGACACTGAGGTGTTTTGTACATTTTGACTTGGAAATGTGCTTTGCGTCACAACGGCGTGCAATTTTTCATCTCTCATCTGGCCCCGCTTTAGCGAGCCTACTTTTCGACCTTCCGGAGCCTCAAATCATTGGAAAAACACAGTGTTTTGCGACTTTCCTACCTTTTCAATCCCCCAGCCAGTTTCCCCTATAGAATTGGGACACCTAGGTGCTGTATAAAACGTTTTTTTTATACAGGTCCCCCCTCAATTTCAGCTGCCCTGTTTGCCTTGTTATGGCGGGCTCTAATTTTATCTCAAAACTCTGGGTCCTAATTTTATATTTTTTTCGGTGCTTAAATTTAGTGACCTAGGGCTCCAATTTTATAGCAGGCTCCAATTCTATAGGGACATGTGTCGGTTTTGTATGGTTTTGTTCAGTTGCCAATTTTATAGTGTATCAATGCATGGTTTCATGAACCAAAGGGTTCCAATTTTGTTGCTACCTGCAATGTAATGCATTCCAGGGTCCCAATTTTATAGCACCTATTTGTTTTTGCATGTTTTTTCTACATCAGAGCGCTCAAGCATGTGCAATGCGCATGCTGGAGAAGAGGAAAACATGAACAAAAACATGTAACAAAACATGGGAATTGAATGGATTTGATGGGATTTGATGGCTTCTTACATCGTGCTTCTACATGCTTCTGATGGCTTGGAATCCTTTTGGAGAGCAACCCCCCCTATAGAATTGGAGGCCCTGATCGAAGGCAGTTTTTAGGGACTATAAAATTGCAACCCTCAAGGTCCACCCAAAACCTGACATGTTTTTGCAATTTTTTGGTTTTTCTTAAAGCATGTAGAAGCACGATGTAAGAAGCCATCAAATCCCATCAAATCCCATCAAATCCCATCAAATCCCATCAAATCCCATCAAATCTCCACATATCATCACATATCATTTTATATCATATCATCACATATATCCCCACTAAAAAATAGGGACTGCTGTTTCTGCAGCTGAAGCTGCTGAGGCTGCTTCTACAGTGCCTTTGCATGCCTTTGCCTTACGGGATCCTTTTGGAGAGCACCCCCCCTATAGAATTGGAACCCCTGATCGAAGGCAGTTTTTAGCGACTATAAAATTGCAACCCTCCACATATCATCACATATCATTTTATATCATATCATCACATATATCCCCACTAAAAAATAGGGACTGCTGTTTCTGCAGCTGAAGCTGCTGAGGCTGCTTCTACAGTGCCTTTGCATGCCTTTGCCTTGCGGGATCCTTTTGGAGAGCACCTCCCCTATAGAATTGGAACCCCTGATCGAAGGCAGTTTTTAGCGACTATAAAATTGCAACCCTCAAGGTCCACCCAAAACTTAACATTTTTTTGGCATGCTTTAAGAAAAACCAAAAAATGCCAAAAAATGTCAGCTTTTGGGTGGACCTTGAGGGCTGCAATTTTATAGTCCCTAAAAACTGCCTTCGATCAGGGGCTCCAATTCTATAGGGGGGGGGGCTCTCCAAAAGGATCCCACAAGGCAAAGGCATGCAAAGGCACTGTAGAAGCAGCCTCAGCAGCCTCAGCAGCTTGAGCTGCAGAAACAGCAGCCTATGGCTTTCAATGATTACAATAGTTGGTTTGAAATGGTTTGACTTTTGTGCCTTCGATTGATGACCCCAAAACTTCAGTCTACAGAATTGTGGCACTATTAAACTGAGATAAAATTGGGGACCAAATAATCGAAGGAAAATAGAGGGCCCCCAAAATTCGACTTGGGACACCAAATTTTAATAAAAAAAACACCTATGATCAAGCCATTTTGGATGGCCCTAATTTTATAGAGGCCAATTTGGAGCTAATACCCTGCACCAGTTTAACCTGGGCACTGCAATTTTGTAGTGTTTTTGGGTTTGATGACATTGATGGGTTACTAGCAGGTTGTGATTTTATAGGGCTGATTATGTATGTGTCTGTCAAGATTTTAATTTTGTAGAGGGTCCCAAAAGGGCATTTTCAAAGGATAGGCCTGGGCCCCCTATAAAATTGGAACGCCCAGGTTAAACCCGTGTATTGGCAAGGGGATCCTTTTCACGCATCTGCATCTTCTTTCTGTTCTACTCTTCTTTCTTCTAATCTTTCTCGTCTCTCTGCCTCTTCCCTGCTCTGCTTTTCATCTGTCCATATTGTCGGAAGTTTGACTTCTAAACTTCCTTCGATTATAGCAAGAGACAGGGTGACCGAACGAACAAACAATGAGCATAACATGGGAAGGTTGATTTTGAAGGTATCGTTCCGCCTGGCGTTCGGAGCTTATAATGTCCAAGAAGTCATAGGGATATTGACCATGCAAGAAAATTGGACATACGACCCATGTGCGGTGGTTTTCTGATATTCGAATGATGGGCTGCACGAATTGGTTTGATGAATATCTTTGCAATCTCATCTAAGATTACCCGTGAACAAACCTTTGCAAGGTCAGGCCTAGATAGCTAAGTTCGTTTCGAACTAAGATGAACTAAGTTAACTCGGGTTTATGACCGTGGAGGATTCCCTGAGCCAGAGGGCCCTGTGCCCACCATAGAGGAAATGTACCAAGATGCAGAAGCACTGGAAGGTGCCTACAACGAAGGGGTTCGATCAAGTTCGGACTCCGATTTTCCACCAGAGGACATTGGAATGTGGCTTCGACGTGAAGAGCCCATTCCAGACAGGCGGCAAGGGCCGTCTAGTGGCTCTGATGACTATATAGAATTATTAATGGGGATTATGTATCAATTTATACCTCCGGGGGGGGCAACTGGCAGGGGGCAACTGCGCCCTTTGGGACGGTTACCTTGTTTGCCATTTAAAATTTAGATACCCGGCCTGGTAAACATACAAAAAACTATGGAAAGCACCATTTTTTTTGGCTAAATCAACTATAAATGACCATTTTCAATAGCTATGATTGTTTACATTTGGATAAACTATAACGACCTCACTGCTATGTTAGTAGGCATGATGGTAAGGATAACTGCCCTCAAGCGGCGTGAAATTTCAACCAGTCGTCGCGGTCATGCCTTTCTTGTGGGACTTTTCCTTCCAGCGCCCGGAAGATCGGTGGCCAAACATTTCGGCTCGATGTTTGGGTTTTAATTAGCTGACTGACTGCAGGGATTTTGCAAGTGTGGGTGCCATGATGAAAAAACATAATAATCCCTTCATCCTAATATTAAACAAATAATCTGAGGTAGTGTTTATTATTTAGGGGAGGTTGAATAGGGAGAAGGGATTATATGCATATTCATATTATGTAGATATACATGTGGACTACACTGTAGAAGCAAACATACCGATAATTCATGATAATTCAACATTATCTCACCATCAATCATGGTAAGGGGAACCAAGCTAAGTGAAACAAACATATTTTTGTTCCCTGCTGGAATCCGTGTTCTTCTACTTCTTCACTGAAACACCTACTATGTGGCGCAGACACCGGCATTTTTCTATCCGACAGAACCAACAACCATGTGATGATCAGTTAATGATGACGTTTTGATTATTGTTTGGAAGATTGTGACGTATTGTACCACACCATCTCCACACTATATAAGCCAATATATGTTTATGATTGTTTATGGGGATATTCCCTTAGCCCTTAGGCCTCAAAAATGTGGTACCTCCAATTCAGCTAGAGCCATTGACATCCCCCGAAAAAGGTCACCATACCATGCTCTGCAGTTCTCAGGTTCCCAAAATGGTTTTCTGAAGGAGGAAGGACATGTCGCTTGGATGGCTGTGCTGGTTTTTCTTAGGGTTTTGAGTCAGATACATGTACTACATTTATACACCTGGGTTTGTGTAAGGTGAATTGTTTATCTTGTTTCCTATGTGAAAACCGACCAAGTCAAAATCTAGTGAGATTTGTTGATCTTTTTTGGGCCACCCTTCGGCAAATCCAAATCCAAGTGTGGCACTTGTTGCATTGATCGTGGAAGTTATATCATCTACGCTATGGTAAAATTGGTGGAGCTGGTATGCCAGCATTGTCAAAGGGCAACTGGCAGTTGAGTTGTCCGAGGGTGCATTCAGAGTCTATTGTTCGTTACAACCACATGTTAGCATGGCATGTCCCTGCAACATGGTTGCAGGAGGTTTCAGGCTTGCCATATCCATAGGTTTGAAACCGATTTAAACCAACAACCCCCAGGTTGGTGCCCAGCCCCTTTCTGGGTTTTCTGGGCTTATTGAGGATGAATCTCAACTACCAACAACGATAAGAGATTGAGGTGTATATAAGAGCGAATCTTAACTCTTAACCATCTATTGTATTCTACTGTTGGGGTCACTGATTTGGAGGGGTGGCTTGAAATCTTTTGATTTGACAATTGTATAGCCCAGCTTTGAAACCTTGCTGTAGGGTCACCATTCGCTGATGATTTTGGATATGGAACCATAATGGCGGGTTAGCATCCAGGATTATATACCAGCTCTTTTGATGTTTACCAGCGTAAAACTATTTAATCATAGATATAATTACACATATATATATACATATATATAGTGGTTTTGATCATCTTGAAAAAGGGCGTGGGTATATAGTGTATATATGGGGTTTTACCACTACATGCTGGGGTTTTGGATGAACCCTGTTATCATCAAGGTCAAAAATTATCTGGAGACCTGCAGCCCAGTCATCAGGGTAAAAGATGTAGCAGACCACACTGATTGACTTTATCATAGATGGCAGGTACGGGAAATCATCCAACAATTGGATAAACACTGGTGTATTTCTGATTGGACATTTTAGTCATTCGCAAAGATTGCACGAACTGTTCATCTATTTTCTCACATTTGATATGGTACCTGGTTGGCGAAACGGATGATCGCTTCCCCGACATCCCAATGGCCAATGGCTAGACCCCGTTTCTTGATCCAAAACTGTGGGTTTGGACACGGACACCACATGGCACCCGAAAACTCATGATTGATCCACATAGTTTCCCCCTGGAAAAAAAATATCGGGAATGTGGTAAACTACCCAAATTTGCCCAAATTGGGGATGGCATTGGGTTTACCTTATTAAAATTAGTTTATCCCATTACTCCAGCATTTTTATGACAAAAAAGATCGTTACAAGGTGGTGGCCCCGAAATAGCTAAGTTGATTTATATCCAATGAAATTAACCAAGGTTATGGATGTTTATGGTGTAATTATGTATGTTCCCGGTTTCTGGTTCAGTAGCCCCCCCTTCCCCAATGGTATGGTACCTCCATCCCGCCCTCGCAGAATCTACCCTACGTGTCGTCCATAGTATCTATGCTTCTTTTCTGCCTGGTATACCTGTATACAAGCCCAAGCCATAGCGTATCTACATACTACTCATCAGTTGCCTATGATTGGTGTATCCTATGATTGGTGTATCCTATGATTGGTGCATTACCTGCGTTATATCCATAATGCATATATATATATGTATATATATATAGAACCTACACACTACTTGTAGCGTAGCTATGAGACACGTATATATTACTATATTATATATATATATACATTACACACACATATATATATACATATATACGCTATTATCTATACTCATATGCAACATCAAAAACCACCAGACCCCTCAACCCGCCACCCACAGGGGGAAGGAGGCAACCACATACACTACCTAATCCCTCCTACTTATATTGTACGAGCTAAAAAGTATATAGCAATGACCCCCCAGCTACAAATATACCTCTGTTATATATATATATATTTATAGATGCATTCATATGTCTTATGTGTACTATTACAATCGTGCATATATATATATATATATGTATATATATATGTATATATATGTATATATATATATATACGTTTATATATATATATACACGTATATACATATATATATATATACATATATACATATATATATATATATATGCATTATAATTTAATAATATACACATATGTGTACTACATTTGAACATATAAAATACATACGTACTACCTATAGTTTATCTACCTATATCTATGAGTATATGTATATATAATTAACATGTGCGAACCACCTAGTTACTACTCATCTGGTGCTAACATCCAGCGCTTAACCTACCCACCTCAACCCACCCACCCACACCTCAGGTGGGGTACCATAATACCCTCACACTCCCCATACCACAGGGGAGAGGGGTACCACGACCATGTGTGAGGGGGAGGGGGGGACCCAAAACCTGGAACATATATAGATATGTATATACAAAATTATATATACACATAATTATATAACTATTCTATATATATATGTATGTATGTAATGTATGTAATGTATGTATGTAATGTAATGTAATGTAATGTAATGTAATGTAATGTAATGTAATGTAATGTAATGTAATGTAATGTAATGTAATGTATGTATGTATGTATGTATATAGTATATATATATATATATATGTATATATATATATATATATATGTATATATATATATATATGCATGTGTATATATATATATGCATGTGTATATATATATATATATTTATATATATATGGCGCAGGTCGGCAACCCCACCCCCCCATCCCCCAGGTCATGGTTATGGTCCTGTATGTACGCTGTATGTAGGAGGCTCTATGTAAGATTCGGTTTGCACACCCCATCTCCCCTGTGGGATGGGTGGGGGCTAGGTAGTGGCTACGATGCTCCATGCCCCGCCTATGGGATGTGTAGGTGTTATGGAGGTACCATGTACAATGTAGATAGTTTATAGTAGCACATAGCTTGCACGTATGTATAGCATATGAGATCTTGACAGTAGCTAGTATATATTGGCTACTATGCAGGTACTTTATGGGCAGCAATATGTTGTACATAAAAGAGTGATGCAGGGTGTAGCTTACCCCCACCCCCCCCTGTGGAATTGGTGGGGTGTTGCGGAGGCATCATGTAGAAAGTGTATAGGTAGCACATGGCTTGCACGTATGTACATAGTACACAGGAGATCTTGACAGTAGCTAGTATATGGCTACTATAAAGGTATTTTATTGGCAGTAATACATTGTAAATAGCATGATGCATTGAATGTAGCAATCCACAATCTTCCTCATTTTCGAGTTAGCTCAAAACATGTAGCTGGCTCAATTTCAGAAGGGGTCACGTGTTTGACTTTAATGTTGTACCGCTGTCTAAGCAGATTTGGCCCAAAACGTGGCTCCTAAATTTCTGGGCTGCAACAGGGGTACCATCTCTATTAAACGAATCATTTGGGACTGGACTGAACCTGGCAATTGAACACATTGGGAAAAAATTGCGGGCTCGCTCAAGTGGAACGAGCTACCTCAACCACACCGCGCTAGCTCAAACACATCGCTCTAGCTCGATGGCATCGAGCTGGCTCAATTTTTTTGAACGAAAAAAAACCCGAAAAAACAACAAAACATCGAAACAATTGAGCCAGCTACGTCACGTTGAGCTGGCGAACGAATGTGAAAGCTCAAAAACGAATACATAATATGTATTGGCCGGGAGAGCTGGCTCAAGGGCATGTAGCTGGCTCATTTTTTTTTCGTTTTGTTTTTTTTTCGTTTTTTTCGTTCAAAAAAAAATGAGCCAGCTACGAGGCGCAGAACCAGCAACGAGGCATTGAGCCAGCTACGTGGCACTGAGCCAGCAACGAGGGAATGGTGAATCTGTACTGTGCGGGACCGATGGATTTTCCGATGCAGCCTTTGCAGTTCCCAGAAATCAAATTATTGATTAATTTTGGCACCATGTGAGATAAAATAGAAGACTGGCAGTCTATACATATATATATTCATATAAAACCCCACCCGTATAATTATGGCCAATCTGAGGCAACACCAGTTTTCTTGAGGGAGATGCGTACCCTTGAGCTGGAGGGAGATTGGGAAAAGTAATTTTCGAATGCGGGATGTAGCTTACCCCCGTGCCCCCCCCTGCGGGATGGGTTGGGTGTTATAAAGGTATCATGTAGTTTGTTTGGAGGTAGTACGTTGCTAGCACATTTACAGCAGTATAGCACATGAGATCTTGATAGTAGCTAGTATATGGTTACTACAAAGGTACTTTATGGGCAGCAATGTATGGGCATATAGGCAGTAGTGAGCACTGCGCATGGAGGAATCCTGTTGGGTAGTGCATAGGTGGCACTAGGCCAGCATTGACGGATGGTCGTAGATGGCTAGGCCACCCCCATGGGGGTGGTTGGGTGGTTGGCCGCTGGCCGGGACCATATATCTCATTGGGTTTATAAAACACTTTATAGCTAGGGGGCAGCGCCTTGTAACTCGGCACCTTTCCCTGGTGAAGCCCCTGAAATCCAAATCCTAAGGACAACCTTGCTAAAATGTTGCCGCTGGGCTGGAAACTGTGGGAAAAGCGAAGCCTGATTTAGTTGGAGCTTGAGACCCACCATGATTACCCTTTTGTAAACCAATATAGCTATTGAACCTGGCCATTTATAGTTGATGTACCTATTAAAAATTGTGATTTTCCATAGTTTTGTTAGTTTACCGGAGGGAAACCGGTTATAACTGGCTCACCATGATAAAAATATATAAAAATCATGTTTTTTTTTTTTATGGTTGGTGTATCACACACATGGCAATGCAAAGGATGGAATCCTCTGGTAAACTAACAGTTTGCGAACTGGAAAATTGCCCATAGAAATAGATGGTTCAACTATTAATAGCATGGTGATTTTCTATAGCTAATTTGACATAACCGGAGGGTTTGGCTTATTTTTTTTGACATCCTTCTTGGGATGGTTCAACACGAAGCGTGGCCAGTTCTGTGTTTTTGTTGATCCTTCTTTGCTTCAATGGTACCAAGTCGCAAAATGATCATCAATTTTCTGTTGAACAAAAACAAATCAATGTATCAATAATATGTCAATGTTGAATCCCTATTTTGGTGGTTTCCAGAAAAGTTGGTGGTTAAATCAAATTTTGTGCTGGTTAAATCACAATTTTTGATGGGTAAATCCGGTAAATCCACATTTATGTTTATTAAATCATGTTGAACCCCTAGTGTTTATGGCAAAATCATGCGTTTGATCTTTGAATCATGTTGAATGCTTAGGTTTGATTGTAGCCCGATTTTTGATGATTAAATCCACTTGTTGATGGTTAAAAGTTAAAGCCGCCGATTTCCGTTGTCAACTCATGCTTTTGATGGTCATATAAATACCTACAATGTGGGGCCCCCCAGTTGTAAGTTGGTTTTTAAAATCCCATTAACTTTAGTTATAAGTATCATAAACCATAGTTATTGGAGTTATAAACCAACTTAGCTATCTAGGGGGCCCCACATTGTATAGTTTTGATGTTTTGATGGGTAAGAGTAAAGGTCAGAAGCATGTCAGCCCAGGAACAGCGCTTCCATGATCTTTGCAAACGCTGGAGGCGTCTCCGCTTACGCAGGAGCCTTGGCCGAAAAAAACAAACAAACATAGGGGTTTTATCCCAAAAAATATTTAACACGGCAAAAATGGTGATTTGACGAACAAAAAAATCATGTAATCAAATCATACAGGATCTAACCAACACAATGGTGATTTAACCATCAACAATGGTAAGTTAGCACCCAAACATTAATGGTGATTTAACCAACAAAAATGGTTTAAACCAGCAAAAGGGGATTTGACCAACCCAATTTCATGATTCAAACGATTCAACCGTGATTTTTGACCAAAAACATTGTGTACTTTTATGATATTGCGATATTGTTCGGATTTAGGTAGTATTTTTCATATTGTAAAATGGGGATTGACCCATTAAAGACTATAAAATGGGGATTTCAATGACTATAACATGGGATTGACCCACACATCCTTGGGATTTCGGCTCTAAGTCATGGCGCGTTGCAAACAGCAAACAGCTGGTGCAGCCTTTAGGGATGGTTGACCTGTTGGACATGCTGAAATATAATGAACGCCATACATATGCTGCATATATATATATAATTAACATATATTGTCTTTAATATTGTCCATTTTTTTAATAACATATTCATATAAATGTAATACATATCTATGCACATATTCTTTTTTAAAGCAACATAACATATATATATATATATTTATATTCATTTATATATATATAATTTAATAGACAATATGTATTACATATGTGTAGATGTTGTACCAAAAAACAACAATTGTTTTACTGCGTGTGATCCCCACCATGACATTTATGCATTTTGTTACTGGCAAACCTTCTGGCATTCTAGCTGACATTTTATCTGGCATTCTATCTGGCATACCTTCTGGCATTCTATCTGGTATATCTTCTGGCATTCTACCTGGCATATCTTCTGGCATATCTTCTGGCATTCTATCTGGCATATCTTCTGGCATATTATTTGGCAAATCTTCTGGCATTCTATCTGGCAAACATTCTGGCACTTTATCTGGCATACCTTCTGGCATTCTATCTGGCATTCTATCTGGCATATCTTCTGGCATATCTTCTGGCATTCTACCTGGCATATCTTCTGCAATATGTTCTGGCATATCTTCTGGCACTCTATCTGGCATATCTTCTGGCATATCTTCTGACATTCTATCTGGCATTCTATCTGGCAAATCTTCTGGCATTCTATCTGGCAAACATTCTGGCACTTTATCTGGCATATCTTCTGGCATTCTATCTGACATTTTATCTGGCATTCTATCTGGCATACCTTCTAGCATTCTATCTGGCATATCTTCTGGCATTCTATCTGACATTCTATCTGGCATATCTTCTAGCATATCTTCTGGCATTCTATCTGACATTCCATCTGGCATATCTTCTGGCATTCTATCTGGCCGTTGAGGTCCAGCGGTGCACACTGAGCTGGGCAGGTCCCAGGTTGAGGTCCAGCGGTGCACACTGAGCTGGGCAGGTCCCCGGTTGAGGTCCAGCGGTGCACACTGAGCTGGGCAGGTCCCCGGTTGAGGTCCAGCGGTGCACACTGAGCTGGGCAGGTCCTCGGTTTAGGTCCAGCGGTGCACGCTGAGCTGGGCAGGTCCCCGGTTGAGGTCCAGCGGTGCACACTGAGCTGGGCAGCTCCCAGGTTGAGGTCCAGCAGTGCACACTGAGCTGGGAAGTTGGCAAAGAGCTTGGCGCAGAGAGTCGGCGAAGAGAGTTGGCAAAGAGCTTGGCGAAGAGTTGGCAAGGCGGAAGTGCAGGTGGAAGTTGATGCAGACATGGTCGAGGAGAAACTGAAGGAGGAGGCGAGGAGGAGGACGAGGAGGAAGAGGACAGCTAGTCGAGGAGGAGGAGGAGGACGAGGAGGAGGAAAATGAAGCGGAGGAAGAGCTCTCTGATAAAATCTAACAACCCTCACCTGGCAGGTGGGGAATTATTCACTATTTTTGCAATTTTAGTAGGATTATACTTTTCTGTTGCTTTTTGTTTTTCTGCGGTGCTATATCTATCAATATCTATCTATCTATTTATTTATTTATTTATCTGTCTATCTATCGATCGATCTATCTATCTATCTATATACATATATATATATATACACTATCGTATATTCCTATGGATCCAGCCGTACCTTCGTAGGAAGTGTGGCTGGGGGTTGATGATCCTGATTAGTGTAGGGAGGACCCCCCCAAACATCTGAGGGGCCCCTTGGGGGTCTCTTTCGGCAAATTTTGAGGGACCAGGATCTGAATAATGTTGGATCATGACCTTAAGAATTTCAATGAGATTTCAATTTCCTTTCAATTGATTGTCCTTTTGCACCTAAAAAATCTAAGGGTAAGTAAGGACTTCGATAGACATACTATAAGATATCCATCTATGTTCAATTCATTTTCCTTAAGCCTAAATCTAAGGATATCTATTTACTTCCAATTGTTGTTCCTTTTGAAAAGTAAGGATTTTAATTTAGATCAATTCACTTTCATATTTTTCCTTTATAACCCAAAGAAATCTCAGGAAAACCACAATTTCCAAGTCATGTCAATCTACAGTCACCGACAGAATTATGGAAAAAAAAACGTTTCAATTTACAGGCGCCGCCTGTCTATGATAGAAAAGTTACGAACCTTTTTTTTTTTTCATAATTATTTTTTCCATAATTATTATTTTTTTCCATAATTCTGTCGGTGACTGTATTACCATCGATTCGCAATTTGAATGTATTTTACGGGGGAATATTGAATTATAGAAAATATTGGGTTGATACTACATACTTGCATTTGCATACATATTTCCATAACCCCCAAAAAAAACGGGTTTGAATTGTGGATCCATGACATGTCCAACAGGTGGAGCCCCAAACATTAATTATGGAAAAAATAATTATGGAAAAATTAATTATGGAAAAAAAAAAATATGGAAAAACCGGTCAATCTGCCCTAGCCCCCTGATTTCACAGGAAAAATCAATTATGGAAATAATGGCCAAATTCAAAAAATTATGGAAAAAAAAAGGTTCGGATCACTACCGGGATATTTTGAACCCTTATGGGGAAAAATCCAATTATGGAAAAATCGGACGCAGGCGCCGCCTGTCTAAGTTGAACGTTTTTTTTTTCCCATAATTCTGTCGGTGACCATACTTCGAAATCATTTAGACATATCATAGAAATTCCATAGAAATCCCATACACAATCATCCCTTTGAAATCCCAGAGAAATTCCATAGAAATCCCATGGAAATCATCTTTAAGTAATATAGGAACCACAAAGAAATCCCATAGACATCCCTTTGAATCTCATAGGAATCTCATAGAAATCCCTTTGAAATCCGTGCCAAATATCATAGGAACCCAATATGAATCACATAGAATTCCCAGAGAAATATCATAGACATATGATGGAAATCCCATAGGAATTCCATAGAAGTTTCTTAGAAATATTGCAGAAATCCCATAGGAACACCATAGAAACCCTATAGAATTCCCACAGAAATATCCTGGGAATATTATAGGAATCCCACAGAAATCCCGTAGATTTAAACATCATAGAAATTTCATCAAAACACCATAGATATATAATGGAAATATCAAAGATATCCCTTAGAATTCTATAGAATTCCCATAGAATTCCCGTAGAAATCCCATAGGAACACCATAGAAATTCCATAGACATCCGTGTGAAATCCCATAGAAATATCGTAGAAATATCATAGAAATCCCAAAGGAATCCCATAGGAATCTCATAGAAATCCCATAGCAACACCATAGAAACCACAAGAGAGGATACCAGGAGAATTGAATTAATTAAGAGAGAAAAGCTAGTAAAGGAAAGGACGGAACGGATTTTGGAAAATGTTCACCCAAGAAAAGTTGGACACAATAGAAGACCCTTCCAACAAACGTACTAATGAAGATCTGATTTGCTCATGGGCTACCCCTTGCATTGAACAATTGTTTGGGTGATGTTTTTTTTTTTAATTGGGTTTGTTCACACGCCATGTTTTTCATGATATGTTTTCTTATTGAATCAAAAAACAATCATTTTAAAAGCATCTTGAAACAAGTATTATCAAGTAATTACTGAAACACACATATCCCAATCAATTCACAGGTTCAAAATTATTTTCAGAAAACTTGACACAATAGTGTATCATTGCACTAATCGGGATACTACATTACTCCAAATCATCCAAGTCATTAGACCATGACTTGGTCTTGAAACCCATGATTTTGGGGTATCCACATTTTAGGAAACCTCCATGTATGCATATATATATATATACCCTCTGGTTATTTGTTACATAGCCATGGAAAATGGCCCATAGAAATAGATGGTTTACCTATTAATAGCATGGTGATTTTCCATGGCTATGTAACAAATAACCAGAGGGTATATATATATATAATAGGAAGACTCAGGAAGACCATAGCCATGGTCACTCTCAGTTCATATCTCAGATTCTCCGGCCCCTGAGGAGAGATCCCAACACGTGAGGACCTGGATTGGCTTTTGACGTAGCTCTGTCGTTTTTAACCCGGGGCAAGTGGCGAGGTGAGGAGTGGGATAATTATGAATGATTATAAAATAATAATAAACCATCCCCAAATCATAGTGAATAGTAAACCATCCCCAAATCATAGTGAATATAAACCATCCCCAAGTCATAGTGAATATTAAACCATCCCCAAATCATAGTGAATAGTAAACCATCCCCAAATCATAGTGAATAGTAAACCTTCCCCAAATGAGTTTATTACTATTATTATTATTATTATTATTGTTATTATTACCCTTTGGTTATTTAACAGTTCGCCATGGTATAGATGGTCCATAGAAATAGATGGTTTACCTAGTAAAAATGGTGATTTTCCATGGGTATGTTAATAAACCATCCCCAAAATTGGGTGTTCTCATTGGGTGTACCCCTAGAAATGGGATGATGCAAAATGACCCCCCAAAAAAAAACGGTTGATTGATGGGGGTTACTGTTGGGTTTAGCACGCTATCTTGCTAAGAAGGGTAAAATACATGGTTATATTTATACGTGTAAATATATATATATATATATATTTATTTATAGAGAGGTATTATATATATATATATGTATACACTGTCATGTTTGTTTAGAAGCTAAACATAAATATCGAGAATTGAGAATAGACAGTTTTTTTGCAGTTGCCCGGTTGAGGATGAATTGTTTCGGAGTGCATTTCTGCTGGGGGTGCAAACTTGACTGCATGCGCCTGTGCCTTATGAGGCCTAAGTTTGAGGATAACAGTTTGAAAACAAAAGGTGGATATCTCATAACTGTGTGATGCCCAAACTTTAGGGGCTTGCAAAAAAAAAAAGTTCCAATACCCATCATCAACTTTCCCGGGGCTCGGAAGACTCTCAGAGTAGGAGTTGTTAGTTGTACAAAGTGGGCCCCCCCTCAGTTTTAAATTGGCTCGCAATTCCAGTATTTTTTGGATATAATTGCCATAGTCCCTAATTCTCGAAGTGATTTTGACCGACGTAGGTGTCATAATATAAGTTGCATTAATTTTTCATTGTTGTTGTTGGTTAAATCATCATTTTTGTTGGTTAAATCACATTTTTTTGGCTTCAAAACCCTATTTTTGTTAGTTAAATATGTTGTTTTTTGTGTTGGTTAAATTACTACTTTCCACTAGCTCATCTCCAAACGAGCGTGGAATCGTCATCCAGGCATACTACTGGGCAGGAGGCAGTGACCGAAGAGATTCCTCCTGAGGAACGACTGCCAGTAGGCAGGGGCCAGGACAGGAGACCCCCAAAATGATAGAAACTTCAAATCACGATTTTAGTGAGATGAAAAACTGTCTGGTTGGTCGTTTGGAACATTTTTTATTTTTTCCATCTATTGGGGACAATCATCCCAACTGACTTTCATATGTTTCAGAGGGGTTCTTTGGTGGTTACAAAACAAAACACAAGAAACATGCATGTTTGAGGTCTTGAATTTTGACCCATACTGTGCCCAGTCATCCCCCGATTTTTTTTTAAGGGGGGGGGGGCCGGGTGAGTTTCTCAAAGTATAAACGGGAGACCCAGAAATTGGAGACTTACCACCCAGTTGCAAGCTGGTTGATAAACTCATGTAAACCCCTTTTACAATATACATATATATGTATTTTATTTACCATATATATAGTGTTCAATACATATATATATATACATATTATTGTATTATATATCATTATTTACAATATATGTATATCTATCTACCAGTGCAAGGTATTGACCCATATTTATCAAAGCTGGTTTACAACTAATGCAACGGATTTTAAACAACATAAACCACTAGTAAAAAGAAAACAAACCTCACTTGTCCAGGATTGGACATTTACTGAACTCTACCTAAAACAGAACAGTTTTCTTTCCCCAGTTTTCGACTCAGGTGGTGACACGCCCTGCAACAACCTGCGTGGTTGTGGCGCAGCCCAAGGGAAGAGCTTCGGGGTTGGGGCCCCCTGGACAAACGCCGAGGCCAGACTCCGTGGGAGACCACGACAAACGCCAGGACTCATTGTTTTTTTTTTGCCCTGGAAATCATCACCATTCTTAATGGGTAAATCATCATTCCTAACGGGTAAATCACCATTCTTAATGGGTAAATCAGGGTAAATCATCATGTTTCTCCATGATTCAATCTGGTTACTGTACAGTAATAGCTGTTGATAGTGAAATCACAAAATCCTCCCCCGTTGGAGCCATCGTAGCTTTCCATGTAGTTCACCCAGTTGGGACAAGCCACAGCCGACGTGGCCAGGGTGATGATGTGCCCAGTTGCTAAGTGGGATGGTAACCATCAAGGAATCGAGATTCAATCATCATAAGCATGGATTTAACCAACAAAAAATGCACTTAGCCATCCTAAACCAGGGTTGAAACTACTGTAATATTCCATAATGCAGACTTCTAATTTAGAATCAACAATAGGTGTTGTACCGTTTTTGAATAGTGGATATTGGGCGTGTCCGTTTTCATGGAATGTATACTATATTCTGGCTTCTGGCTGGGCACGACGTTTGGCGAACATCACTGGGACAATGAGAACTCACCATTACCATAGCTGTTATCTGGATGAATTATGGTGACCTCACGTGCTGTCACTGGAATGATGGTGAATGTATAGGGGATTAGGGGACCCATCCAGAAATTGTTTTTTTCAGTGATATATTTTCAGGCTGGTGAACAATTATGATTCAGCCAGGTTGTTATATGATTGATTGGTTGGTGGGGTATACTGTATAGGATCCCTATTATTTGATGATAAATTACAAATGCAGGTAGATTATATTATATTGTGTATATATATTATATATATATATATATACATATAAAGATACTTTACATATTTGTATATGTTTATATACTAATATATATATATATACGTGTATATACATACATACACATATACATATAAATATACATATACATGTAAATATACATATACATAAAAATATACATATACATATTCATATACATATACATAATGACATAATATACATAATGACATAATATACATAATGACATATACATAATGACATATACATAATGACATATACATAATGACATATACATAATGGGCACTCTTCATAGCTGTCATAGCTCAATCATCTACGCATAGTTTGTGAATACGTCCCTTTCCAGCGATGATCATACCTTGGTCGAGTAGCTCAATACTTTCTGTCCAAAAATGGAATGTGTAATTTAACCATAAATAAATTGCTGGACACTAAGATTTAACCATCTAATTATAATAAGGACTTCAGCATTTTTTACCCAATCATCAATTTGGGTGGATTTGGATACAATAATGAGCATACCCAAAATTGTCACTAGATTATTTTAATACTTGTATCATATTATATAATGTGCAATGATTGATCATATAATATCATACCCAATTTAACAATATTGCCGGCTAGGTTGATAAACGTCACTGGTTGGTGATGTGATTCATGTCCAGTTTGTTCCCTTATCGATGACATGTGTCCCGCTTGACTTTCATATGTGTTGAGGTCTTATGAACCGGCGGATAATTCATATCATATCATATATCACTTTTTGCTTGGTTAATATCCCAAACTTTGTGGATTTACATTATATGTGCAGAAATTGTGTTCCCAGCAAATCCCTGTTTTTTACCCAATTTAAGTTTGTTTCCGTATTTTTCCGGATAATCTACCAAGTTCTGTCTCGTTATTAACACCCCGGTTCCCATTTTATACCCTATTGCAAGGGAAGAAATCCTGATGATTACAGTATCATGTTTGTTGATTATTTCCTGTTGAGTCTATCGATACCAAAACACCCGGCTTGCCAACCCAAACTTCTGATCCCATCAATATCCCATGAATATTCCATTGAAAAGTCTACCATTAATGGGATGTGTCTGAGAATCTCCCGAGTATACCACCAAAACCAGTCATTCATTGCCCACAGGTAAAGTATTGCCTTGACCCGCAACTCCATCTAAGGGCCAAAGACACTTCGCTCTGATTTGTGGGTCATGATGTAGCATGACACCCAGGAGTCCCCAAAAAGACCATGTTGTTTCCTACTAGTTTGATGTTTGTTAGCTTTGTTATTTTTTTCCAGAGAAACACATAAAAGTGGGGGCCTTTACAATGGGATACCCAATCACGGGAGTTAGACTCTTGCCATCAGAATAGAATTGTTGCAGTCGGACCGTGTAGTGTGCCCATGGCCCCCAGCAAACACTGATAGTTCACGCACTGGAACCACTTGGGGTTGTCCGGAAATGGCGCGTAAGACATGAATTTGACAGTCAACAAGTTGAATCTAGGTGATTAAAGCGTCAAATAACATCAAATAACATGCTGTTTAAGCAATGAATATTGGATGTTGGTGTGTCAATGGTGGGTACAGTACATCCCCCCGCAGCAAAACATGTTTCTGATAACGACTTAGTGCACACTGCACAATGCCATATGACATGAAATAGCACAGAAAAAATACAAGATGAGGCCGCCAAACGATAGCCAACTTGACTTGCAACTTGGTGAAAACGGTATTTATTTAAGTGAGGATACAACCACAGGTCATGCAGATATGGCCCAACTAACAGCTATAAATGGAATGAAATAACTCCTACAACTATTTGGTGAAATATATCATGATTCATAGGCCCATAAAGCCATAACTGCCATAACTCTTTGTTGGGCCAGCCATTTCTTTGGCGCAACATCACCATGGCCTTGGCTGAAACAACCTTCCCAGGAAGCTGCACTGTGTGGCATTCGAATGATCAGCAATGCACTGCCAGGCGATGTGCCGGCTTCAACATGGTTCAACCATCCCCCAAGCATGATCTTAAACATTTTTTATCACACCCCCAACCAGTATGGTCGTAAAATGTCCTAAAAATATGGATGTTCTGAAGAGAAACCATGGTTTCATATGGTTTCTGGATGGTGTTTAGCAAAAAAGAACGGGAGAAGGGATTTGTTTCGGGTTTGTTAAGGGTTTTTTTTTATCACCAGTAGCAACCACTGAGGCCAAATCTTAGCCACCTGTTGGGTCGGCTGGGATTCAAACATGAAGCTTTCTTTGTCGTGACATGTGAAAAGTTGATAAGTTGATGGAATTTGTGATTTAAGACACTGTTCAAGATGAGTGAGAACATATTTTGGTGCTGAACAAACTTTATCTTTTCTTGTCGGATGGTGTGGAAATTAAGGCCACCGGTCAAAGCGTCAATGTATGAAACTTGCAATAGCATCTGCAGAGAGTTGCAACGTATTTAACCGTTTGATTACGTGTGGGTATGTTTGTTTTGGCAGGATGATGCCACAGCATCCAATTCATAAGTGGCGTTCGACACCCGTTTGGTTGACGATCTTTTTGGTGGTTATACTTGCGTATTAGAGGGTTTTTGTGTGCTTTTGTAAGGTGTTGAATATCATTGGTTATTGTGATTCAATTTGATAAATGATGGTTGGTTGATGATTCTTCGTTTGGGGGTTATACTACCCAATATACTAATACTAGGGATCATCATCGGGCATCATGGTCAATGTCTCGCTTGTGACTCCAAAATATTCTCGCCTGTGACTCCAAAATATTCTCGCTTATGACTCCAACATCGTCATCATCATCATCATCATCATCAGCAGCATCATCATCAACATCATCGTCGTCATCATCATCATCATCATCAGCATCATCATCATCATCATCATCATCATCATCGCGTAGGATGCATGTGCAAGTGCAAGAGAGGATCTCAAAGCGTTGCATGTGTGTGCAATTACAAGAGAAGACCGAGGGCGTCGCATATAATGCAAGTACAAGAGAAGATCTCATAGCGTTACGATTTAGTCCCTGTGCCTAGAGCCCAAAGACGTTATCATACCCAACCCCACCCCAGCCGAAATGATGATGTTAATGACGATGATGAGGATGAGAATGATGATGATGAGGAGGAGGAGGATTTTTGAAGATGATGACCAAGACGATGATGATCATGACGATGATGACGGCGACGGTGATGATGATGGTGATGATGATGATGATGATGATGATGATGATGACGAGACGCAAGTGAGCTGTTTTCCGAGTTGCAAGTGAGATGTTTGCCATCATCATCGTGTATTCTGGGAATCTCGGTCTTAACCAACCAGTATAGTGAACATCCTGAGCCAACTCCCTTGCGACCTTGGGGGGCTTGCGATGCCCCTTACACAACCGGCAACGGATTCTTCTAGACCTTCATGGTTACCCCAAAATGTACATTTCTAACGTAGTTTGGTAGGTTTTTACTGCAAGTAGAACGTGGTACTCGTACAGTAGTTACTTCATCATGAACCTCAACACATGCTAGATGTTGTTAGAGGTATGCATACTGTAATTTCTGATTTATATCTACATTCTACATCAATATTCCTCATAGAAAATTACACTGATTTTATGTTATTTTATCTCGTTTCATCATTTATCCCCAAAACACGTTGGATTGGCCGGTCAAGGTGCCCCCTGACTTCAGAACCGCAGGCATTCGATTCACCAATGTGGGTAGCAGTGGAGTCTTGGTACCGATGCGAAAGGAGTCGAAACACGAAGGTACCGCTATAAGGTGCGGAAAGCCTGACAAAACGTCGAAACATTGGGATTGAACCATCCAAATCATCAAACGATATCGTTTTCTATTGTGGACAATTTGGAACTTAACAATGAGGCTTGATAATTTATTTGTGGTACGTTTCTTGTGTTTCCAAAACTACTCAGACCACTGCAACTGGGATGTGCATATACTAGAGTTAAGTCCCCTCAGACAGTTTGTTTTAAGTCGACTCGGGTTGGTGTGCCCTTGCGATTGTGCATATCCAAGACCATAATCATATATAATCATCAACATCATGTGTGTGTCAGCAAATCATAACTCATCACTGTGCACATGGAATTAGTATGAAATTGCTATGTTGCATGTTTCGGCTCCGTGATCTTCAAACTGATTTCATTTTACTAGGTACTTAGGCTACGTCTTCTTGACTTGCAGAAAGTCGTCTGGATGTGGCGTGCAGCTGCGTAAATGAATGTTTAAGCATGGTTGACTACATAGCCAATGATTATGAAGCTTAGTTTTTGCTGGCAGGTGGTGCATTGATCTTCAGGAATGTTTGATCATAAAACTCATGATCATGATTTTTCTGCATTTACTTGCTGGGTCTGCTACAAGGCACGTGGGCAACACGGGCGCTGAGAGTTGATTCCATCTGATTCCCTGGTGATGTTCCATCGCGGCGTGCCCCCCAATTAAGGAATCGTCATGTCAAACAGGCGTGCACAAGGTGATTCTCAACTCATGCTGAAAATCAAAGAAAAATCATATTTTACCTCAGCGTGCGCAGGGCATTCGTTATGGAAAACTTATTTTTTCACGAGGATCTTGTAAGCGTGCACATGATGTTTTCATTTTTTCCGGGTGAATACTCGCATCTTTTCGCCGAGTGACTTACCACTAATGCAGCGTACATACACATGCGATGTCGCTCCGTGATCTTGGTCCTAGATACCTAGCAATTCATATTCATCGCTGTGCGCATGGTGCGCGTTGTATTTTGCTTTGAAAACACAGCTGAAAACCAGTGAAAACCTACTGAAAGGTTTTTGATGGTATGCATGCAGTGTGCGGTGTTTTATTGTTCCTGCAAATCAGGACGCTGGTATCGAGTACTGTGCCCATTGTGTTGTGCTACAGGTGCGACTTAACGCGGGTGCGCTGACTTAACCCGAATGCAGCCGTGCCTTGCAGGTGCGTTGACTTAATGTTGATTAACCAGCTTGAAAATGGTATAATATAAGTGCAGTATCTGTAACATTGAAATTAACCAAGTAATTCAATGGATTCATCAACATTCATACGGTTCCTATGGGTGAACAAGAGCATCAACTTCGCCATTGCAACTGAGCCGGCACAGGGAAACACGACGTGCATTTTAGGGTCTAGGGAGGCCTAGGGAGGACATGTTCGCGCTACCGGAAAATGGCCCATTGATGATAAACATGATGATTTACCTTTTTTATGGTATTTATACTATATAGATCTATTATTTATTCATGTGTTTATTTATATATGATGATTCTCCAGTCAAACAACATCAAACCATAAAATTACATGAAATTACTTTACTTCGAGTTATCCCCACCATGACATTTATATCTTTATTACTGGCAAATCTTCTGGCATTCTATCTGACATATCTTTGGGCATTTTATCTGGGATATCTTCTGGCATGCTATCTGGCATATCTTCTGGCATTCTACCTGGCATATCTTCTGCAATATGTTCTGGCATATCTTCTGGCACTCTATCTGGCATAATTATCTTCTGGCATATCTTCTAGCACTCTATCTGGCATATCTTCTGGCATATCTTCTGACATTCTATCTGGCATTCTATCGGGCAAATCTTCTGGCATTCTATCTGGCAAACATTCTGGCACTGGATCTGGCATACCTTCCCGCATTCTATCTGACATTCTATCTGGCGTTCTATCTGGCATATCTTCTGGCATTCTATCTGGCCGTTGAGGTCCAGCGGTGCCCACTGAGCTCGGAAGGCCCCAGGTTGAGGTCCAGCAGTGCCCACTGAGCTCTGAAGGTCCGTCCAGTGGTGCCCACTGAGTTCTGAAGGTCCCAGGTTGAGGTCCAGTGGTGCCCACTGCTCTGAAGGTCCCAGGTTGAGGTCCAGTGGTGCCCACTGAGGAAGGCCCCAGGTTGAGGTCCAGCAGTGCCCACTGAGCTCTGAAGGTCCCAGGTTGAGGTCCAGTGGTGCCCACCTAACAACCCTCACCTGGCAGGTGGGGAATTACCAGAGGCTAACGTGGTAACGTAACGTGGTAACGTAACGTGGTAACGTAACGTGGTAACGTAACGCTTTGCCAAGCTGAAAACCTGGGTGATTGCTTTCAACCCAGCTCTAAACGGATATGTCTGAAAATTGGCTATCCTTCATGAAATCGCCATTTGAATACAGAAGATGGTGATTAACCAGTGAATTTGGATGTATTTTTCCCTAACATTTATTGAATTTTCGGGTAAACACCGGGCAGTTGGGATGATCTACTACACGGTGCCAGGGTAAACCTTGTTTTAAATTAATATACCTGGGCCTATACGGGTTTGTTTTTGCCACTAGGGTGGCAAAGGCAACAATAAATCATATCATACTATATTATGCATCATTTATCTTATTGTTCCGTTATGATATGAAATGACATAAACCGTCAATGCATTGGGATTATTATACCACAGGCTTACCTTTGAATTCGCCAAACTGTTTGTTAGCTATGTTCTCAACCGTATAGCTAGAATGGCCCAATAGCGTTCTTTTGGGTCGATGGTTTTCCTTTGATTTACTCTTGTCTGTTGGTGTGCTATGTGTGTAGATACAGACGCTGCCACTTCCTTTGACAATTAAACAAGTCAGCTACTGTCATTCGAAAGACCTGTCTATACCTACCTAGTCCCAACCCCAAACAACTATGGATGCTACGTGCAACTTAACCATCAACCGTGAAGCTTTAAGCAACACCAATAGTGGTATAGTGGGATATCGTGAGGATGGGATAGAATGTGTATCACGTGGGGATGTCATGGGGAGCATCTGGATAAACTATAACGCTCGCGCATCTCGATGTCGCTGACGTGGCGGTTTATGCAATTCGTCCAGAGCCATGTGATCAGATCAGACTGATTGAGTTCCTAGATTTGGATCCAGAGTTTCGGATCCTTGAAATTACCATCCATCTCTGACTAAATTTTGGGTACCTCAGTACTTAAACCTTTTGCCATCGACAATGGTATGTGCGTATATTTAAATGAAATTAAATACATATCTGCTAACAGCTAATCGGCTATAAATATGTTATGTTGCATGGTAAGGCCATTTGATGGGGCTATGCCCACATTTGACTTGAAGATATTCGAAGATTATATCAACAATCAACGGATTGGTTTAAGAAGGGAAACTATATGAGCATCTATGATAGAGAATCTACAGGAAACCGTTGATTTTCCCGGGGTTCCTGTAAGTTTTCCATATATATATAATTATATATATAATTATATATAATATATATATATAGACAAACCCATTAATTCTACTCAATATTCAGAATGATAGTGTTTGTTGCCTATACAATGTTTACCAAGGTATAACATTATAAAATGGTACAAGAACAATTTCAATCCTGCATCATATGAGCAGTGTTCCTGCAGCCTCTATTGGTTGGTCAGTTGTTTGGTCGCTACAATGCCTGGTGTATAGTCGATGAGCTTCATCCATTTTGAAATTTGCATTCAACAACCATCATAGTATCATGGAATGACAGTATACCAATCTATATCACTTATACATACTTTTACCATATAGATCCATGTACAAGATAGTATCATTATACCAGAGGGTACCGTTCTACCACTTATCTCATTTTCCCAGCTGGTCCAAGGAAGTAGCTGCAGCAGCAACCCTGCGGTTTTCGTTACATCCAGCCACTGTGAAAAATCCGATCAGCCGATGCGGTTCCTGAAAAAATGGTGGGTTAAATCACTAGCTTGGTTTGGGAAGGTTCAAAGAGAAACATAATCTCCATTCTTTAAATATCTTTAAATGAGATGTAGGGATTTACCCAGTCAACGAGTCAATGAGTTTGGGACTTGTAGATGAATGGGCTCAGAAATTATGAGCCATGTCAGCTTTAAATCAATTTGGCCGGGATAATGATGGCATAAAGGTGGGATAATGATCGCATGATGATGATTGTGGAATGAACATGATGGGATGTTGATTGGATAATGACGGGATAAGGAAGGGATAATTGTAATTAACTACAAGTTTTGCCCCATGGTTAGCCAAGTCGATTTATAACTATATTTCACGAGGGTTGTACGGTAGAAACATCGAATTTGTCAAGGGGGTTAATAAACAATTGTGTTCCATCTGGGGGCACCGCATGGTAAATGACCCAAGGGATGTTTGTGAACTGCATCTGGTTCTGGTTCGCCAAGGTTGCCCCTTCAATTTCAGAACGCTATATATCGATATGTATATATATATATATATATGATCCCGTCTTCCGCCCACGAGGTCCCCCCCCCCCCGAATGGGATGGGTCTCCCATTTACCAGGTACATGCTACCCTTTAGACGACCTACGTAGCACACATACTCCCTCAAAGTACCTACGCGCCCGTGCTACCTATAGTCAAATATACATGTGCTATGTAGCTGCTTCCCTTATATGTATATATATATATTTATTTATTGATTTACATGTTATAGATACATACATAAATATATGTATATAATTGTATATATATATATATTTAAATTCATATTCGTATTTAAATATACATATATATATATATGTTCACAAATATACACATATTCAAATATGTATATATATATATATATATATATTTAAATATGTACACATACATATATATATATATATTTAGATATGTACACATACATATGTATATTTATATACATAGGCATATATATATATACATGTGTATATATATATATATGTTTACATTTGTATATATATATACAACTACATGTTTACATACATACATATTTAAATATATATACTCAGTACCACACCCCCACCACACCACAGGGGGGGCGGGGAACATAGCTCCTGTATATCCATACCCATTCCTACTACTAACAACTACTCACTACTACATACTACTAACTACTACTAACCCCCCCACCCCCCTACCCACCCGGGCGGGAAACATAGCTCCTGTATATCCATACCCATTCCTACTACTAACTACTACTCACAAACAGTTTCTAGCTACTGTTCAATTATACCGGTTTTCATTGGCTAGACCCCGCTTCTGATGGCTAAATAATTTCCTTTTTGGCTAATTAGAGCACCATCTTCGCTGGTGAATTACAACCTTTTGCCAAAATACAAACAAGATTCGCAAGATACTAACTAAGTATAGAAAGATATCGAAAATTACTATTTGTCTTTCAATTTCCTACAAGGTGGTGCCCCCCAGTTGTGTTCCTCGCTTTATCCAACCCAATTTGACTATTGTTATTAATCACCTTCAACCCTAGATCATCCAGCTATAAACCAATTAGCTACTGTACAAAAAATCTGCGGCACCACGTTGCATCAGAACATCATAAGTCAATTAAATACGTAATGTTCACCATTTGTAGTGACACTTCCTGAGGGAAAACCATAGACAGACGGGTAGGGTAAACCCTTCCCCCTCAAGGCCAGTCCGGGTGTTGGGCCAACATCGGCATGGCCCGGAGCAACTTCTTCGGCTTCGGTGGGGGGCAGCCACTGAGCTGACGCAGGGATCGCTGGTGGGGATACAACGTACCAAATTGAGTCGTAGAAAGTTGTGTATACCCCGAAAAATGATGAGTTTTTTGGGGGAAAATGAGGATTCATCATGAGTCACCACCTGATTTTTGGGTATTTTCAGACAAACCGAAAAATCAAAAGAACCATTGTATGGATTTATCATCCTTTAATGGGTTTGTCACCAAAAAAAATAAACATGCTGATTTAATGGAATAATTATTTGGATTCAATGGGTATAGCTTCCGGTACTCAAACGTGGCTGGCTGGAAAACTCACCATGCACAGCCGATTGCCATGTTTGATTCCCGGAGGGTAAGTTGGAATATGGTGAAAAAACATCAAAATGGGAGGAAAATGATAATTTCACCTGCAAACATGTAGATTTTACAATTGATTTATTTGAATGGTCTTTGCTGAGTTTGCGTTCACGAATATTTCAGTCGGGTGTATGGCAGATGTATCGACTTTCTAAATAGTCTATGTAAACGGGGCTGCCATATGAGATTTATATATTTATATATGTAGGTATATGTAAATATAAGATACAAATAATGTGACTAAGTTTTGCAGCGTGTTAGTCTGGAAACTTTCTACAAATGGATGTCTATTGGGAAATCATCTATAAATGAGGGTTCTTCAGCAAGCCATGTTTGACTACTAAAGGATAAGTGTGATTATAGTTCCTTTAGTTGGAATGTATGATCAAAATCCGTCTGAAGAATGACCATTGACTTTGATGATTTAAAGGGTTGCCCCCTCGCAAAACTAAATCTACACATACATATGTGTATATATGTATATAACTGGGTTGTACAAAAAAATATGGTTACAATTGGACAATGGTTTGGCGAAGCAAGAATAACATAATCATAAACCTTCAATGTGAGGGAGATGATTGGTACATGTGTGGAAATGCGATGCATTTTTCCGGTTAAAACGGTCTTTTCTTGCCATCAAATAATTACAGGCATTGAGCCAATAAAAAATGTGGGCTTGTCCAAAAAATCGCGGATACGGGCGATAACTGGAATTCCCTATGCATTCTAAGCATGTCCAAGCCTCATCTCGTTAGTCAGTTTCCCACCGACAAATAATTATGCAAGATTGAAGCTGGAAAAATGACGTCTTGTACAATTACAAAATGTCTTGCTATAAATAATATGTGTATATACCCAGCTGCTCCAAAGTACATTCAGAGAAGTGTTCTGGGAGCTAGGGTATATATAGTGAGGTTCTGGGTCCAAGTACATGCTCATCAACTTATAGAATTTGTATATTTCTCAAGTTGTTAAACATGCACCCCATGGGGCAACAGGTTGCCATCCGGTCTCATTTTTCCCCCTTGCTCAAGCTGGGAAGTCATCCCAGGATTGCATCATCGAAAGCTTTTGAATGAACCTTGTTCTTTAACCTCAGATGGCCACTTCAGTCAGTATTTGGGACCAGTTGCAACAGAAAATAAAACACATGAAAGAAAACATGTCAAGTCAAGCCAAAAAACCCCAGATACCAAGTAGTCAATGCAGACTCTTCCAATCGGCGCATTTTGTGCGTTCCAGGGATCACACTGGTCAGCTTGCCAATAAAATCTTCACATTGAAAGCCATGTGCAAAGCGGCTATTATACCCTTAGCTCACATTTAACCAATAACAGCCCAGACTGTATCAGCACACCACTCTCACACTGTGCTCGCCGTTCATGCCGAGCAGCTTTCCAACGACTGAATGGCAGCAATTTCTTGCCAAGCCTTGGATCAATTGGTGCCAGTGAAGGTGCAACTTGGCAGGTTGGGACCCGGATAACATCTAGAGAACAGCTGAGTATGGTTTTGTTGCAATCAGATCACGTGTTTTTTTGGCCGAACTGGCCATCGCAGTTGACGGGCTGCAATAGCTTTTTCAGCAAGAGATAGATACGCATCAATACTGGAGTCCTTGGATATGCATTGGTATGCATACTGAACAACATGATGCTACATGTACAGGTCTATACCTATGTTACTGTAAGCCCCTAAGCCAATTGCAGTACAACTCAAAAAAGCAGGCTATGCAAAGCCAAGCCTCACAAGCAGCCACCATTTTCAAAGCAACACCCTGGCTGAGGTATCTATCATTCACCTCGGACATCCTGTGGAATTTGTTGAGCCCGTTCCTTGGTGGAGGCCATCACTTGGATGGGAGTTGGAAAGAATGGGCTTTAAATTACTGTAGTTGGATAAACTCATCAATCTGCTGATGGGTGCTTCGACCAGAACAGTCCTGAAGCACACTTGCCAAAGGTCACATCGACCTTGACCTTCCTTTCCCTTTTGCCATAGAGGGCAAACGGAAAGCTGAACAGGGAAGAGCTGGACTGGACTTGGCGACTCCAGTGCGCTGGCAGAGAAAACCTTTGTCTTGCCGGACGACGTACATCGTTCCCACACAGAGTGAGGACACATGACGCTGTTGAAGCAGAAAAGGAATTTCGAAAAACCAGCTGGCTTATGCCACAATGACCCCCACATGGTGGTCGTGACTGAGTCTCGGGACATGGTGTTGTCCTACGATGATCAACTTCACTGAAGAGCTCAAGGACAAGAAGGTTCAGATCCATATGCATCATATAGTGGTACAAACCCATAATAATATTATAGTGAATTTGTATTTGTTTAATGACATGCAAATTGTGCAGGCACTAAGTTTTTCAATACCATCATCACCCCCACACAACCCATAGCCAAGTGTCACAGCTTTGGACATCAATCCCATTTGCTCATCACCAGGATCATTTCGACTAAGCTCCATAGTGAGATCACCCAGCCAAGCAATTGCCACCCTTGCCTGCCAGTGAAGTAATAAAGCTATTGGGGGCTGAGATCAGTAACATATTTGAGCTATACAAATAACGTTAACCATCCAGAAGAGGAGCCAAGCTACGTTCCAAGCCTTTGATTGCAATTCAGGATAGGGATGTTGTCTACTTCGTAGGGAACGTTCCGACCATCGTGGCATACTGTGCCTTAGCATAGTGTATTTTTCTCGGGTTTCAACATGTACAAGTTCTTTTTGGGTCAAAGATATAGTTCAACATTTTATAGTCCAGCTAGATGCAAACGAAATGCTGCCACTTGAAGTTTTTGCACCAGGACTTGAATGCAGAATAAGCACGGACCATCTTCATATTTGGAGATTCATCAGCCGAGCCCCAAATGGTGTAATCATGAAGAACCGCATATAAGATATTCCCAGCCACAAGGAGGTCAACACCAAGGTGTAGGACATGCATTTGGCAGAATCGAATGCAGTGGAAATTGAACATGGGAAGATCAAATATAGGACCTGGGTGCAGGCACACGATGAACATCCTCAAGATTTGCTCTTTTCCCCCAAGACTATCCATTTTTGAAGGGGCTCAAGGAATTGTATGGATTGCAAAATAATGCCAAAATAATGCCAAAAACTTTTGACTCCAATTTTCACTGAGTGGGTGAAAAACTCCTCCATGGTTTGGTTCCGGGTCTTCTGAAACAAATTCGCAGGGCTCGTAATGTCATGCATCTCACAATGGCAAAGGTGGCAAATCCGCTTTGCTTTATAGTATGCCGATAGATGTAGCCATTCCTCAAAGAGAGCAAGTGGATAGGAGTTGAGGCCCAAATGAACAGGTTCATGAGCTTATTAAATTACTTTACTTCGAGTTATCCCCACCATGACATCTAGATCTATACGTTTTGTTACTGTCAAATCTTCTGGCATTCTATCTGACATATATCTTCTGGCATTCTATCTGGCAAATCTTCTGGCATTCTATCTGGCATATCTCCTGGCATTCTATCTGACATATCTTCTGGCATTCTATCTGGCATTCTATCTGGCATATCTTCTGGCATATCTTCTGGCATTCTATCTGGCAAATCTTCTGGCATATGTTCTGGCAAACATTCTGGCACTTTATCTGGCATATCTTCTGGCATTCTTTCTGACATTCTATCTGACATTCTATCTGGCATACCTTCTGGCATATCTTCTGGCATTTTATTTGGCATATTTTCTGGCATTCTATCTGGCATATCTTCTGGCACTTTATCTGGCATACCTTCTGGCACATCTTCTGGCACTCTATCTGGCATATCTTCTGGCATATCTTCTGACATTCTATCTGGCATTCTATCTGGCAAATCTTCTGGCATTCTATCTGGCAAACATTCTGGCACTTTACTGGCATACCTTCTGGCATTCTATCTGACATACCTTCTGGCATTCTATCTGGCATATCTTCTGGCATTCTATCTGGCAAACATTCTGGCACTTTATCTGGCATATCTTCTGGCATTCTTTCTGACATTCTATCTGGCATTGTATCTGGCATATCTTCTGGCATCTTATCTGGCCGTTGAGGTCCAGCGGTGCTCACTGAGCTCGGAGGGTCCCAGGTTGAGGTCCAGCGGTGCTCACTAGGTTGAGGTCCAGCCATGCTCACTGAGCTCGGAGGGCCCAGTGCACTCAGACCCTTGCAGTTGAGGTCCAGCAGTGGCCACTGCGTGCAGAAGTTGGTCAAGAGCTTGGCAAAGAGTTGGCAAGGCAGAAGTGGACATGGAAGTGGAGGCCGAGGTGGTGGAGGAGAACGAGGAGGAGGAGAAGGATGAGGAGAAGAAGAACAACTCTGATAAAATCTAACAACCCTCGCCTGGCAGGTGGGGAAAAATTGATAGGCAACTTTCACATTTTTTGATGACCTGCTCAGCTTTTGAAATGATCACCCCATAACAGTATATCATATCCAATCCCCAAAACTTTTGATATGGCATGTTCAAGAAAACTTAGGTGATTGGTTACCTCAAATGTGTAGTTCCCACACAGTCAATCTATATATAATTAGTTCATTAATATATTAAAGGGTAAACCTTGATAACCCACAAAAGATCAAGGGGCAGCTTGAAATTTCCAATCCGCTCTCACCTCGGTCACCATCATGTCGTCATTCGCATAG